TTGATAATTTGGTTTACTTCTGAGGTAACCTGACACCCAAAAAATCGTGCTCCAACAGCTTATTGCGACCAGTGTGCCTTATCCATACACTGAAAGGGTACTTTAAAAATAGTCGTTGGATTTTTTGCTAGAATCGTATAATTCTTACTCTTTAATAAATTTTCAGATTTCAGGAAGTTTCTTTATTAAATCTTAAATCTTAAATCTTAGTATAAAGTGTATCGCAGAGTATGTGTGAAAAAAATATGTATCACAAAAAGTATCGAAAAATCTGACTACGCAGCAGTCGCACAAATAAGTCCCTAAACTTAAAAAAAACGCAGAAATCGCAGAAAAATCCTAAAAAAACGCAGAAAATCGTAGAAAAAGTCCGTAAGAATAAGAGAGAGAGAGAGCGGACTACAAATAGTACACTTCCTCCAGTTCCTTTCCTGGAGGAAGTGTACCCAGAATCGAAGCAACGTTCCCACGTTGAGCAGCGAGGGAAACCCGCTGGCGCAAAAAGTTGACGGCGTTGGCTTGTCCAGTTGTGGCGGCGATCCGCTGAGCAACTTGGAGATGAAGGCAAGTCCTTCCTGCCCCCATACTCCTGTGGTCTCCATGGCAACGGGAACAAAGATGTATCGGTCCATGAGGAACGCGTACCTCTTCCTCTTGCGGTCCTCTGCCTTGCTGGCGGCAGCGCCCTGATGGCGCACGGTGTCTGGGAGGTAGCTGGGGGCGAATGTGTCCGCGCAGGTGAAGTCCCAGACAAGGGACCTCCCCCGCGACCAAGGGACAAGTGTCATCCCGTCGGGACGCTTGCCGTCCGTGGTGGAGCACCCCGCGGGCTCCCTGATGCAGGGTACTTCGGCAGACCGGAGGGCTCTTGCAATGACGTCGTTGGCGGCCTCATGGCGGGACCAACGACCCTTACTTCGGCGGCAGGAGAGGCCGTGGTAGCCGCGGGAAGTGACCTGCGCCCCGCATGGGCACTTGTGCGGCTCGCAGATGTTGCAGCCTAGGCGGAGGGCGATCGCGACCCGGAAGGTCTCGTTGGGGAGAAGGGTGCCCAGTTGTGGAGAGGGGAGGGCGTTGAGCCACACCCCGGCGTATTTGTCGCGGAGGGAGCGAAGGCGGGCAGTATCCTCCGGGATCACTGCCACATCCGAGAGTTTGGACAAGGTGGTGTCCAATATGGGGCGTTCCCACGCCGACTGAATCCCTCTAACGGTTTCGAGTGGGAGGTCGGTGAGGCCAAGGTCGGTCCACCGCTGCACCCCCTCTGCCATGGCGATGTCAGTGCCATGGAGGTGGTCCGGAAGGAGACGTTCTACGTGGGGCAGGACGCTGTGGACCGACGCTAAAAAGCACGGTATCGCCACATCCACAGCGTGCCTGACCCCCAGGCCGCCTTCCTTCACGGGGAGGGAGGACTGCATCCATGCAGCCTCCGAGAGAGTACAGTTGAGGATCCCCTCCAGGGCGTCCTTTAGCGTGGCGTCGTAGTGGACGAGGCGTCCAACTTTCTCCACGATGGTGCGCAACGGAGAAAGTAAATCAGCCGGGGGATGGAGATAGACGCCCTCAGGAGGAAAAAGGCCGAATGCGCCGAAAGGTTGAGGAGTCTATGGGAGAAGGTGGCCAATTGCTGCGTCTTCGTGGCCAAGACCACTCCCAACGCCTCGTTAGTAAGATGGGCGCCCAGCAGCATCGCAGAATCGGGGGACATGAGCTGGATTCCGGGGGCAACTTGCTGAAATTGGAGGAGGATGTCGATGGCGGTGTCCCGCTCCGCCCCCAGGATCCCCACTTCACATTTGTCGTGGTTGAGGTGAAGGCCCACCTCACCACTCATCCTAGCGACCGTTGCTAGGGCCTCCAAAACCTTTTCCGGCGTGTCCCCAATGGCCCCATCGTCGAGGTACCATAAGTTTAGCTCCGTTTCCATTGATTCGACGATGGGGTGGATCACGAGGGAGAAGAGGGCGGGGCCTAAGGGGTCCCCCTGATGGCACCCAAGTAGGGAGGGGATGGGGATGGTCCCATAGAAAAGTGACGAGGGGCTTTCGTAGCATTGCGCCACAAATGGGAAGATTGAGGGGAAGTGGTCGCGGACGGCGTGGAGTAGCGTGTCCCGCCGTATTTCGTTGAAGGCGTTCCTGAAGTCGATTTTCAGGAACGCTTTGGGGGAAGTGTGGGTGTGGCCGTAGTAGATTCGGGCGGCGTGGGCGCCGATTTCCGCTCCTCCCTTGATTCCCACCCCCAGTTGGTGGGGTGAAAAATGCTTGATTAACTGAGGGGTAATCCTTCCCACAATAATCTTCGCGGCCAAGCGCCGCCATGTATTCCCCACAGCGATGGGCCGAATCCCGCCCGACTTCTTCTTCAGGGCAGTGAGTGAAGCTCCATAAAAGAGGGGACAGAGAGTTGGCGGGACTCCCCCGGAGAGGACCTTGTTGAGGAAAGTCCGCATTGCTTCGGCGAGTTGGTTGCCCCTCTCTCCTTGACTGCACCCCAGGAGATCCTTCAAGATCTGGGGTCTCATCCCGTCCAGTCCCCCCGCGGACCCTGGCGGAAAAGAGGAAATAGCCCGGAGCAGCTCTTCATCCAAAACCGGGGCAATGGCAGGATCCTCAAGTGGTGGAGGAAAGTTGACTGGTTGTGGGTGGGCTGGGTGTTTTGTGAGAAGGGCAGAAAGGGTGTGGTCGTCGGACGGAGCAATGGTGTCGTCGGAGCATGCGAGGCGGATTGCTCCCCGAATGTCACCGTCTGCCAGCTTGGCCTCCACCTTTTTCGCCGTCATGTCGAGTGGGGGTTTTTTAGAGGGTGGGCGTGGTGGGAGGGGCCGAGGGATTGAGAAGCCACCCACCCACCCCGCAGTATGATCCTTGACCCAGGTTGTCAAGTTCTTGATGCGATCTGACTTCTGTGGGACTGGGAGTGTTGCATAGGGAAAGAGGAGCAACTTTCCCCAGCTTTCTTCGTCGTCCGATTCCGTCACTTGCTGCAGAATTGTGGCGAGGCACTGCGCCACAGACCTTCTTGCGCCGCGGGGGACTCTTCGCAAAGTGGGCGTGGTGGTCTTGAGGCGGGCGAGAATTTCTCCCCAATCGTCGCGTTGTTGTTGTTGTTGAGGTGAAGGTGGAGGTGCATCCACCCACTGGATACCCTCAAATCAGTTGTGGAGGACACCCCTGGCTCCAACGCGACGGGTGATGGTGTCAGGGAAAAACTGTTTTATGTATTTCCCAATGGTGGACTCCGAGACTCCGCCCTCCCCGCTCTGGGCGACGTAAACAGCGTAGCGGGCGAAGACGTCCGCTTTCTTCAGGCGGATTGGAGGGTGATTGTTGGGGTCGACAACAACAAAAGAATTACGAACCCAGTCCTGGGCGGAAGAAATGGTGTCTTTTTTGGTAACACCAGGGGACGTGGGGGAAACGGATGATCGGCAAGGTCGGGGGACAATGAGTGACGTGTCGGAAAGAGAAGGGGGATCAGCGCCACAAATCGTGGCTGACGTCGCCCCGACACTCGAGGAAGGCTCATCTCCGCCTAAACCGATGGCAGGAAGGGGGGTTCCGATGGTGGATTTGCGGGGTCGGCCGCGGGGGCGCGGCGCAGGTGTGGAGACGTCCCGCGGCGGTTGTGACGAGGGGGGATCGGTGTTTTTTTGTGGTGTGGACATGGTCTGTGATGGGCCTTGAGGGCGCAGAGAGACCAATTAGTCCCACCCAAGGAAACAAAAAAGAATTAGTTTCCTGCCACTCCAGAAAAAATAAAATTTAAGAAATCTCGCCTGAACAAAGGCATTTAAAATGCGAGAGAGAGGCCAACCCCATCAGAAAACGGAACACTCAAACTCCGTGCCGCTTCTGGGGGCGCAGGGACCTCCCCCCTACACGAACTGAGTCGTGGGAAATCCTTCCAGGTCCGGCCACAGGAGAAAAACGGGAAAAAACGGGCCCTTGACAACGGTTGCTATGGGCAGGCGGGGCGAACTGCTACGTGTGGGGAAGAACGTAGCCCCACTAAAACTACAGAAAGTTCCCAAAACACGTTCCCCCCAACAAAAACACTTTCACTACCCACTAGGGGTCTGAAGGAACTGGTTGGGAAGAAATTTTAAAATGGGGGTGACCCTATTCGTCAAATTTTTAAAACTTAAAAAATATTAGAAATGGAGGAGAGCAACGTGACGTGTTCTCTCCTCGAGCGCCCTCTCTCTTTCTATCTTTCAGATTTCATAATCCCACCTATGTGAAATTTGAAAAATTTTAGAAAATAACCTTCTTCGTATTCCTCCTTCCTGCTCCTCCTCCTTAATTTGTATCATCAGCTAGATTTTTAAATAAAATTTTCCTTCGGTACGACATTGGTTTCATAATTATACCTGATAGTGACCAATTTGAATTTGGAACCAGTTTCGAATTCTTGATTTTGTTAACACAAATCGCGAAAAACCTACCGTTTAAAATTTATTCTTTTTTTAAGAAATTTTAATGTCAAGGTAATTAGTACAGTACACACCTTTGTGAATTTCTTCGTCAACGGAAGATAAATTAACTGCACAAATGTATTTCGCCGTGAACGGTGAATCAAATACTGCACAAATGAGTGTCCTTCGTCGTAAAGAGGTTAAACCCTTGTTTGTTTAACCATACAGCAGAAAATTACCTTGCACTGAAGCAAGTTTATGCTTTGCTAAAAACCTCAAAATTTTCCATGTTTTCGTAAGTCATGTAAAATCTGTCAGGGACAGGGGCCCCCGAAACATTGTGCCTACCGGCCCCAAATTTATAGTTCCGCTAGTGAATGCATGCCAGTCGTCCGCACACAGCTTTGACAGTTGTTCATTATTTTACCCATGCTATTTAAATGGAGGACGAAGGGATTCTTTACATAACGGTAAAAATTAGGTTCTTCTAAATAAGTCAATACCCTTGCGTGAAGACCACTTACATTCATTCTCTTCATGACTTGTACGAATTCTGTACCCTTCCCTTCCTAAAAATACACTTGACCTGAAATTTAGAAAGTAAACTTGCAGCAGTTTAGCTCAAGACTTTCATGTTGACAGAGGACGTAAACTTGCAACTTCGTCAACTTCACGTAATTTGTTTATTAAAATATTTTCTATTCCCTCCAACAATTTTAACCAAATCATTACTGAAAATTGCAGTGCGCATTTATTTACTCAATTATTTTTCCAGTAACATTTCGAATGGAACAACGTCAAGGAAGCGGATGGACATGCTCCAAATGCTTAAAAACGTTCGACACCAAAGCAAACTTAAAGTACCACATGTTCTCACATGACGTCTTTGCGAAAGTGAAATGTGAGGTAATCATTCAAATTTATGTAGAATATTGACAATTCTTTTATCTGTAAAATTCAACCAACTAAATCAGCCTTTGCTCCACTGTTTAGGTCTGCGGAAAAGTTTTGAAAAATCCAGTAATCCTGTCCCAACACATTAAACTGCATGATACCAAGCGGGACCGACCCAGTTGCGACATTTGCCAACGGATATTTTCCACACCAGCAAATTTACGAACACACATACGTACCGTACACAACAGGACGAAACGACCTCGTTTTCCATTCGAGTTTCCTGACTGTGACAAATCCTACCTGTCCAAAGGCGATGTTTTGAAACACATAAAATCTGAACATTCCGAAAATCCGACCCGATTTCCGTGCACGCTTTGCGGTAAGGAATTCAAACTAACAACAAACCTTGAGAGGCACATTTCCAGCCACACGACGGAGAAGGCCTTCGTTTGTTCCACTTGCGGGAGGAGTTTCGCCCATTCGATAACGCTGAAACGTCACAAGGTATGAATAAATATGCCTCCTAAATATGTTATTGGTTAGACCACACGAATAAAAAATTTAGACGTCCATAAGTACTAAGTATTTACATATGAATTTTACAGGCTACAAACTCGGAAAAATCGACCCGGTGGACTGTCAAGTGCGAACTTTGTAATCATGTTTCTTTACGCCGAGCCCACTTGCAAAGCCATATCCAAGCTGTACATGAGAATCAGAGGAATTACCCGTGCACATTTTGTGACCAAAGGTTCTCGACGTTGGTCATTATGAGACGTCACGTGGAGGCGAGACATACCGGGAATTCAGAGAGGATTCATTCTTGCGACAAGTGCAAGTTCTTGAGTCATTCGAAAATAAGTTTATATCAACACGCGAGGCGTCACAATCTTGTTAAACGGCAAAAATGTTGCTTCTGCAAGAAGCAGTTTTTCTACTTCTGGGAACTGGTGATACACTGTCGTCGTCATACTCTAGAGCAGTGAGAACTGAGGAATTTGTTGGTCATATCTGATTTTATTGTTGGGCGGAGTGAGATATGCAAATATGTATTTTCAGACTTGTGTTACTTATACCCCGTTGAAAATATAAAATTATGACCAACCTATAAGGAATATGTCAAAATTTGTACACAAATATTCGCAAATTGTTGATCTTAATGAAAAGTCGTCAGAAATAGCATACACATGTAACAGATTCTGGCAAATGACATTCTTCACATGCATTTCCTGCTAATGTACGGAGACAATATATGTAATTATTGATAAAACTATATCTTTCATGAGTAAAAAAACGGAGGAGTTTGTCACTATAATTTCTAAATCTTTCTTTCAGCATGAAAACTCTCGGTGTCATAAAAATTCAAAACTTGTATTTCAAAAGCGCCCTAACTAACACCCACTTCAATGCGTAAGCCGGCAAATGTGCAGTTTTTCTTAGAATTGTATAAATTCATTTACGCCTCGACACAGCCGAATTATATGTATCCACAGTAAAATGGGTTTAACAAAAAGGAAGGTTCGGAAATGTTCCACCTGTTCGAAAACATTCACAACTAAGCATCGATTCATCAATCACATTATTATGCACGACCCCGAGGCGAAGATGAAATGTCAGGCAAAAATTTAAATTTGACCATCTATTGTCTTACGTTTCTTTGCCTTCGTGATTTAGATTTGCGGGAAAATTTAAAAAAAACCGCGGGCTTACCTTCGCTGCAGCGTTTTCTGCAATTTTTCCGGAATGGTGGAGCATATGAGTAGCACGCATAGTTTGGAATGGCATGAATTTAAAATAAATAAATTTCTCATACAAATTTTGAACTTAGTTAAGCTTAATTTGATCCGCGTACTTAAATACATATTTAGTGTTAAGCGGATCGTATCGGTTTACGCATCAATTTATGTACATATCTATTTACTTATATACATATTTGAGTACCTACAGTGGATACTGAATTTTACATGCCTTATTTAAGTAAATATGCAATACCTGATCATTTGCCAATGTTTTCCAGGTACATAAATAATTTGCATAGACATAAAGCATACATTTGTATTTACATACATAAATATGTATGCATTTAAAAGAGACGAGGGTTCGACATAGCGAGTGAATCCTGGAAATTTTTCTAAATTTGTAATTTGACCAGAAACAAGGAAATAACTGCTGTATTAAACTTAGGATACAACTAATAAACTGATTAGATATTCATGCAAAGTGAAATGATTGACTTGACAACGTAATATTCGAATGGTCTCACTCATATTGTATTTGTATGTATTTCTGATTCTGTTCAAGGGGTGGGATTAGTTGAGTGGTGGAACGGCTTTGTTACATGACGAAAGGGTTGATTCTAGAAAAAGGTGCCCTTGATTCCAAGGCTTTCATTTGCACTATAGCCTTAACGGGCTATTACAAGGCATATATAGTTCATCCCTGGTCTTTCTCTCATTAAACATATGTTCATTGTTCACGTATATTTAGAGAGTCTTGTGTTAAGTATGTGAAGAAGTCACCATTCGATGTGCATAAAACGAAATCGTATATTTTCTGCCCAGGTTTGAAATCTGCACTCAAGGCCTTGAGTGCAGATCATTTCCAGCTTCACTCACAGTGGAGGTCTCCCAACGTATGCTCACAGATTTGGACCAAACTGCAGTTTGGTGTAAGCATTAAATTCTAGTTTGCTTTTCCCTAGTCCAGTTCTGCTAAATTTGGCACCCAGTTCCAATGTCATAAATCTTTCAAGAATTCTCGTAATGAGTAATTCAGTAGTTGAGGCTCCAATTAAGGACAGGGAGGAAGCCTAAACAAAACAATGAGTTTAACAATCTAAACGTTTTTATGCAGATAAGCTAGTAAAGTCAAGGCCTTTTTACTCACAAATAACTTCAGATTTTCCTTTTCCTTTAAAAAGACTTCAATTGCTTTGAGTTCGCTGACAGAAGGTTTTGCATCGACAATCCGGAGATACGACTGCTTTCATGTCTTCGTGCTTGAACGGATGCAGGATCAGATTCACAGCAGAGGCTATACAAATTTCCGCTTCACCAGTCCTTAACGCATTCGTTGCTTCTCGAATAGCAGCAAAGGATGCGGAACATCCTGATTCAGTGGCAATGTTTGGACCTGTTACACCAAGGACGTGAGACAATCGTGCAGATGTTGAAGAATAAGCGTTTCCCATGTACGTCCTGAAGAATTCGGTCCCCTTAAAACCACTTTCGATCATGAGCTCTTTATAGTCGTCTTTCCAACTTCCTGTAAAAATTCCGATTCTACGGTTATGTAGCTCTTGCACACTAATTCCTGCATCCTCCAAAGACTCGTGTGCAACCTCTAAGAGGAGACGTTGCTGAGGGTCAGTGTACTTCAATTCCATTGGATTAAAGCCAAAAAATGATGCATCAACTTCGTCGATGGGGCATTTTAAGAAACCGCATTGCATTTCGGGATCTTCAACTATGCAGCCTTGTTCTACTGTCCAGCGGTCAGAAGGAACTTTTCTGACTCCATTTCCACCTTTAATCAAGAGTTCCCAGTACTCGTCAATGGAGTTTGCTTCCGGGAATCGACATGATACTCCAATTATTGCAATTGGCTCATGACCTGCTACCTATTGACCATAAATTATACAGAATTACATTTAGTAATACTTAAGATTCACGGGGAATAATTGAACATCGAGAAAATAATGAAGTATGCAAATTTCTCCACTACTTTATGAACGGTTCCAGGTAAGAAATCCTTGTTAACTTCTGCCTCTATATTCCGAGCATATTGCAATATACTCTGAAAATAGATATCAATTATTTACTTTAATTTTATTCTCTCCCGTGCAAATAATTATTTAAATTTGAAAAAACCACGTACGTACCTTGCTTATACTACCATAATCATCATTTGAATCATAACCGTTTCCAACATCAACTTCATGAATGATTGCAATGGATGGAAGGCTTGTTGCACTGCAAGTACAAATTTATAGCGAAATCCACCATGAAATTAATTCGTTTTTTGCACTTACCCAATTGAAGCCTTAGGATTAACCCTGATGGAATATTTCTCATGCAACTCTTCACAGTAGGGCAATTTAGTCAAGTAACGCCTCAACCATTGATGTGCATCATCTTGGACAAATTTACAAATTTAATCCTGGTACCCTTAACATGTATATTTTATTTTGCATACCAGTTTTCATTGAGCTTTTCAAATCGGCAATGATTTGTTGGTAAAATTCAAATGATGGTTCCAAGACAAGTACGGAAATTTCCTTTTCGTCAAAAGTGTCCTTCGAGATTCCAATTTTCCCAGTTTTTGTATAAGTGAACAAATTGTCCACGTTTTGAAGTACCTATTACACAAATTATAGGCGTAAAGCAATCAATAGAGGTATGATTCTGTAATTCTGGTTTTCACAGGGGGAAAAGTTGTAACAGGGGAAAATGTGGAGAACAGGGTTTCGAGTGGGTTAAACCCACTGGGTAAACTGTCCGGGCAAAAGAAGATTTAACAAAATAAAAGTGGGCAGAATCGATACCCTGTAATGTAGTAGAACTTACGATGCAATCCGTATCCAAAAAGATAATTTTTGAGAATCCTGGAATACTCCAGCAATGCAGGCGTGCAGCGACACTAGGTAAACTTGCCAACTCCGGTGGTGAGTTAAGCTGGATAAAACCATCCGCATAATGGCCCATCCGAGTACTGCAAACATATAAAATTAATTCTTCAAAATATGAAATCTTTTACGTTTGTTTTGTCTTATAAGAAATGACAATTTTTGGCGTCGAAGAATTAATAAGTTTCTTACATATTGTCTGGAGAGATTGAGTTTCCCAAGATGAGCACAATTTTTTTTGATGTATGACATACTCGTAGTGAGTTGAGCAACACGAGCACTTTCGGGACTGCGTCATCATCCCGGACAAATGTAACCCAACAACCTATGAATTTTTAATGTTTTTTTGTTAAAACAGAGTTAAGAAAACAAGTTCAAAGACGGTACTCCAATAATTCAAGTAGCATATAAGCTTGCATTTCTACAACAATTGAGTATCCTACCAACGCTAATTACCGTTAATTACCGTACGACCTGATTGTGAATAACTGGGAAAATCAAACTAGGGTAGTATACGAAGTGCTGTCGAAATTATAGAAATTCATAACAACTCTTGGACAGCGTTATTTTATTGATTCCTGCTAAATTTCCTTCCAACTAAATTCAGTAATTTAGTGTATAATTTCTAGTAAATTGTAACTGCAAATTGCAATGAATACTTTAAAAAAGTTATTACAACAAATTGTTCGTTTAATTGATGAATGAGTTATATCAAGAATATCCAATTCGAAGATTTTCCTTATAACATATGTATATAAATAATAAAATAATATAACTATAACATTTGAGTTTATGAACCTGAAACGGATACAAGGTATTTAATTACCGACTAACTTGGATAGGGAATTGATAAAATATTTAGGGCTCTTGTATTGCCTCAGCACCAGAATCCAAAATATCTTGGCCAATCAAAACACAAGCCTAATTCTTACATAACTAAACCATTGTTAATCTACGCTTTTGTACTTTTAAAATGCTAGGAATTTGCAATTTCGCGGTTATTCCCGTTTTTACGGTTTTTCCCAGTTATTCCCGTTTTTCACAGTTATTCCCACTGCGATGGGGGATTATCAAAGAAAGTGTGAATTTCCGATATACACCATACTGCTGGATATCAATGCTAGATTTCCAGAATTTTATGCAGCCGAGAAACTTACCGAACGGCATAATGAAATAATATTTCTTTGCATGGAACACAAACTTAGGACGATGAGAAATAAAGTGTGTTAACGTCGAGCAAAAGTCTTCATTATATAGCCCACTAACAACGTACATGCACTATGTAAGTGATAACCTATTAAATTGAGGTCATTTTATTCGTCCCTTTCAAGTGCGTTGAAGGTTTAAAAATATTTACGATTTTTCCATGGTAGGGTTAACATACGTAATGCAACATAATCTAGATATATTTGTCAGAACTTTACGATGTTACAAGGAAAGATATAACATTTTCGAGAGCTATTTCCTCATTCGTGGGGTAATTTGGTATATTAAAATTTTAATTAAGCCATGTTCGCACTTGCATATTTATTTATTTATCTCAGGCTGTACTTGTTATACAAGATGTAAAAGAATAGGAAAGGAAAATATTTTTATGGACATAGGAAAATAGAAGAAATGGACATAGGTGGCTCACTTATCGTAAAATAAATGACATACGACAGATGCCGGTTTCTGGTATTATTACAGGAAAATATCGTCGGAATTTGTAAAATATAAAATTGACTTTCCTAATCTATTAAATATATTTGACGCATTTTATCAAGCATTATACTTCCCGTAAAATAAATGTAGGTATTGTTGGAGGATTTAAACCGGATCAAATTCTTGGAACAAGGTTTAGTCCCGCAATTACTTATCGTTACGTAATATTTTCACCGGAATTTCTAGGTATAAATATTTCTCTGTGTCTATTAGAAATATGAAACAGTCGTGCAAAACAAATTATTTCTACGCGTCTGCCAAATGATTTTGAGTGAAAAGTAATTGAAAATATATATTTTTTGAATTGGTTTATTTAAATTTTATCTTATACAGAGAGTTGTAAAGATAAACTTTTCTTTAATTCGAGAACAAAATTAATTTTAGATTTATTGCCGAAACATATCCCCTTGTGTATCATTTCTTTATTTTTTCTAAGTTTGCGACCCTTTTATCAAGTAATTCTATCCATCTCTTAGTTCTGGTTTTCATCCAGGTCTCCGTCCCTAAACTTTTCCCCGTTTTGGTGACATTTCCCTGAACGGCGACCGTATTAATGTGCATTTCCATATCATCAGTATCAAGCGGTCCTTCGGTTGGAACTTGGTCAATGGAATCGACCAGAATGTGGGGTTGTTGCACCGTTCCCGAGGTACTAGTCGGTGACGTAACGTCACCCAGTATTTTTTGCTCACGAGCCTCAAATTCATCACCGTTACGAGTATTGGTAACACAGCGGGGATTTTTGGCATGTGGAAAAAGCGCTGTGCATCTGTCTAGGGAATGAAAAATGAATATTTTTTGAAAACTGTGGCAAGTGTGCGATTTCCATATTTATTTTAAAACCTTATCGTTTGAAAAAATGTGTAAAGTTTTGGAAAATTTCAAAAATTTGAAAACTCAAATAAAAAACGTTACCTCGATAAACTCTATAAGCAGCCGTGATCTCATTGTCGATCCACGCGTCATGCTGGGCGGTGGATTTCTTGCCAATCTCCCATGTTTTGGTGATCCTACGCAACCTTCGAGGATTCGATGGTCGCTCTTTTGCCTCGGCGTTTTGGCGAGACTCCATTTAGGTTTATCTGAAAATAATTATATTCGAGTCAGTACTTAATTTTTCTCAAGATAGTTAAGTATTTCTAACTTAAATATCAGTATTGTTGCATAAATAAAACAAATAATTTGGAAAGGGAAATTCAAAATTTTCTTATTTGTTTACCTCGTAGTTACCCTTCTGCAAATGGTTTTAAATTAGTTGGAAATTTGTAATTTGAATTTTTGAATAATGGATTGATTTAATTTTAACGAAGTAATATTTATATCGCGTTGTTTATAAAATATCGTAACTTTTAAATATTTAGGTTTCCAGTGATAATACGATTTATGGAGGGTGCTTCCTGACTCAAACAAAGTTAAAGTTCAACTGGAGCTCTTGCACGACAGTCGTTTACTTTAAGAGGAAATCTTCGTCTAAAATTAGGCACACTATTCCAGGAAAAGGGTTAACTTTATGTCCACCTATTACGTATACACTTTGGGGTGGTGCAAGAAGCATTAAAATATATTTTTTTAAAACTGGGGATAAATTTTAACCATAATTCCAATGGCGACATGAATTTAATTTTCTGTATTAATTATAGCGGTTTAATGGGTGGTATTTATGTACGTTTTATAGTCAACTAAATAATACATCGCGCTCGACATGGACGCCCCATCGGGTAAATGTTTCCCCTTTCTGGAAGTCATATAAATAAAGTCAGCTTTTTTATGGGACAATCTTTTCCTGGAATCAAACTTTTATTCCGAGAAGGCTGCACCGTGGAGAATTAAAATGCCGACATTTAATCGTAAAGTAGTTTGTTAAATATTATGGGATAAGTATGTCCTGGAAAAATATAGAACACTTAAGATGGCTAAAATTAACAGAATTTTTTAAATTATATTTGCCCTATGTAAAATATACGACATGAATTAATTAAATACCGCGTGTTAAATTGTATTAGTACCACGTGTTGTGTATATTCACATTTTTTTCAAAATTTCCATCGCCATCCTGCACTTGTATGATTTGATACAGCTTCAAATAAAATCAAATGAAATATCTATGTATGTACATGGATAAATTAAAACGAAATTTTGAACCATATAAACTCGTAAAACCCATAACATTAATTTAATATTTTTTGGATTATCTTATTTAAATTTTATATTATAGAGAAAAGTAATGATCAACTTTTTAAAATTCGAAAACAACACTAATATTAAATTTATTGCAGAAATATATATCCTAGTGCATCATGCAAATATTTTTTTTTCTCAGTTTGCCCCCGGGCTCTCGTGTAACGCTATCCATCTCGCAGTTCTGGTTTTCATCCAGTTTTGCGTGCCTGACGTTTTACGCATTTTGCTGGCATTTCTCTCGAAGACGGAAGTTATAAGATTCATTTCCGCATCGTCAATTTCAGGTGGTCCTTCGGTCGGAATTTGCTCCATGGAATCGTCCCCAATGTGAGGTTGTCGTGCCGATGTCGATGTACTTGGCGGGGTCGTAGAGTTATCCGAAATTTCTTCACGCGCCTCCAATTCATCCCCATTGGTAGTATTGGTGACACGACGTCGGAGATTCTTAATGTGTGAGAAAATCGGCGTGCATCTGTCTAAGGAATGAAAAATATTTGTTTGAAAATTGTTTGATTTCGGTTGAAAAATTGTACGAAATTGTGGAAAATTTGTCAAATTTTGAAATCTCAAATTAAAAAAAACTTAAGTTCTAGCGTAAAGTTCTATTAGTAATCTTACCTCGATAAATTTGATAAGCAACCCTGATCTCATTATCGATCCAGGCGTCACGCTCGGCGGAAGACTTCTTACCAATCTGCCAGGTTTTAGTGACCCTTCGCATTTTTCGAACATTCGAAGACTGCTCTTCTGCCTCGGCGTATAAATGGGACTCCATTTATTAGAGTTGCAAATTTCTATGAAAATATGTAATTATGTTAGACTCGTTATATAATTTAGATCAAGATAATTAAACATATTTTTCGTAAAAAACCTGTATTTGAGGAATGAATTGGAAAAAAAGTTGGAAATATAAATTTAAAAGTATTTACCTTGTAGGTAACTTTCTGGAATAATATTTACTGAATGTTTGATTGTTCCGGAAGAATGGATGATTAAATTGATTTAATTTTGGAGAAGTAATACTTTTTATAGCACTATTTAGAAAGTATGGAAGAAACTTTTAAATATTTAGATTTCACGAGATTTTATGATTTACGGAACAAAATTAGATTGCTTGCTGACTCGCATGAGGTTCAAGTTGAACTGGACAAGGTACCTGGGATCGTTTTACCCTAGTATCCCAATCCCTTCTAAACTTGGGCTCGATACATATTCCAAGAAAAGGATTGACATTAAGATCTACTACTACATATGTACGTGGAGGTTGTGCATGAAGCATGAGAATATTTTAGTAATGTTAACCATAATTGCCAGCAGAACTTTATGTGGTTCTTGAATTTAATTAAATAATACATTTCGTACCACATGGACGCCCCATCGGTAAAGTTTACATTTTAATGGAAATCGTATAAATGTATAATGCCAGCTTTTTATGGGACAATCTATTCCTGGAAAACCACTGTATAGGTTAATGTATGATATTGATAATAAATTTAGAAATGTTTGCTTTTTACGGAATAAATATTTAAGTAAAAATTGCGCAGGGGATGGAAAAATATTTAAAAATTTTGTTATGGTTAAAACAGTAGAGTTTTTTAAATTGGATTTTATTCAAAGTGAAATTAGATGAATTGAATAGTTCCTTTTATGAATCAATGTTTTACGAGATATGAAAGAAATTATTATTTAAATTAATAATTTGATTATACCGATATGTGAGAAAAATTGTTTAACTTCCATACGCAACACGTTTAGGGTTTTTAAAATTATGTAAATCCACATGGGTCATAAATTCGCAGGCGGGTCGCTGTGATCATCACATATTGTGATTTTACTGTGATTTAGTGTGATTGTCTTACAACACTTATTTCTGTGGTTTACTCTAATTTTGGGGTATTCTGAAACAACTTCTTTATTACGCATTTCTGGATAAAACCAATCATATTCGAAATCTCCTTGAAACTCTTAACATTTTCATTAGTGACTCGACCCATTTCTGAAATAAAACCTTTTTACGCTTGAAACTAATGTTAAAATGCAATTTATTTGATCATATGCTTAACTCAATAATACAAATCCTCAGAATTTTAACGCATAATAATGGCATGCCTTTTATTGAGTCACTCCTTTCCTGGAGTGAAACCTTTATCATGAGAAAATCATGGTATTGATTTAAAATATCGACATTATGTTGTAAAGCAGCTGTGTATATTTTACAGAATACGATATGCACTGGAGACGGAAAAATATGGACAATTTAATGGTCAGAATTAACAGAACTTTTAAATTGAATTTCCCTCTAAATGAAGTAAACGAATTGTATCGACTAAATTGTAACCTATTTTATTATTATTTTTGACAGCCGTTTTTCATTCTGGTGTTTTGCTTTCAATTTGCTATAAAAATTCGACTCCATGAGAACCATAAAATTTTTTTCGGATTATCTACATTACATAAACTTTTTTTTTCCTAAGAGTTTAGAGAAACTATGCTTAAAATATAAAACTGGATTGTCTATATATTAATGATGTATGTATAAACACAGTAGTAAAAATTCCCTGGAAAGTCAACTTATTAGAATTTGTTGAAATCATTATTCGCATTTTTGGACATAAAATTGGTCATTTATACGGTAGCGACACATTTTCTTCTTATCTGATTGTAAATTGGTGAAACCTGACTTCTCCACGTTGCTTTCGTCATCCTTCACTTATCGTGTATTTGACAGAGCTCCAAATATTGAGGAATTAAATGGATACATCAATAACTTGAAATGAAGTCGTAATTCGCATCAATACTTTGGGCAGCATTTAGAAATTCGTCTATAAAATTTTACACATCTATAAAATTTCTTATGTGCCCTATAAAAAATGGCTCCTGCTCCGGTGTGACGATTAGTCTTAATTTTCGTCTCAGCATTTTGAAGTCTAAATGGGCGGATTACCTACACGAAGTAAAAAGCTAAAGGTAGTAAAATTTATAACATTAATTTCCAGAGTAAAATTCAGCGAACTGATGCTTCCTGTGGTTTGTTATTCTTTGCACACAGTAAATCCAGCGTCTCCTTCTCGTGGTTTTATATGTTGATATTGCCCGACAAAATACCCAATGACACCATCACCACCATGATGAGCTCAACATTTTGTTAGAAACGTAAAAAATACTTCGTTCTTAGTAAAATTGTAAGCAGAATGAGGCGAAGAAATGTGACGTATTTTCCTGATGTTACATCAACAAGAGGAAATAATATGAAAAAATTCGAGGAAGAAAAACATTTCCGTTTTCCTTGTTCAATAGAAAATCCAAAAATTATTTTTTGTGTTCAGATTGAATTTTGTGACGTATCCGTCAACTAGTGGAAAATGTTGGGAAGAAGAAATATTATTTGGTTTAGATTAGGTGTTATCTTATTGCTTGGATCAAGTGTAAAGTCAGAATTTATATGTGATCCGAACCATTCCACTCCAAAATTACTAATCCCGACAGATTTCTTGAAGATGGTGGAATCACAACGGGACACATTTGTGGTTCGAAGTGAAACGAGAGGTGGTAATTTTGTCATAAATTGTACCAGCAATCAACCGGTGGATTGGAGGTTTAAGGGATCAATTGTAAGTAATCACTTATTTATAAAAGTTAATGAGATCAGAGTGTGCAAGGGCAAAAAGGCATGCCTGCCTAAAACTTGCCTTTTTGCCTTTTAGGCACGTATAAATTACGAGTGCCCGTTTGCCCGAATGCCTTTTTGAAGTTTTTTTGGGGTGATTTGACTCATACAGACATACGCATGTACTTATATTTCTACTCAAAATGCAGAGTATTAATGTTGATATAAAAATTAGCATTCATTCATGAAATCTGCAATCGTTATTGTGATGCTGCTTAATAGTTTAAGGTATATAGGATGTTATTAAAGATGCCTCAAAGTAATACTATCGGACATTTTTACTTGTCATTGTTTGACTATACTTTATTTTGTAACATTCGGTTAATAAATGTAATCTTTCTTGCCTTCTCAACAGATAGCCTATTCCTTTTGTCAGTAATTGTGTTACTCATCGTAGAAAATGCTCTCTCAATGCCTGCCGTACTAGATGGTAACTGTAGTAGAGTTTCACACATTTTAAGAAAGTGGACAGGTATTTTCACTTGGTTGTCGTCTTGAGCAGTTCTCCACCAGGTAACTGGAGAAAGGGTGCTCAACACTTCCTCTTCAAACAGTGTCGCCGAGAAGAAAGTGGTGTCCTTTGTTTGCAAAGCTAGCGCAATAGGAAGATAACTTTTCCCTTTCTTTAGAAGCCAGTTACGTCCTTCCTCTCTCAAATCTTGAGAAAGACCTTGACCTGTCCAACAAGAATGTATTTATTATGACATAAATTTATAAATAAATACATTGTACGGACCTCGATATTTTGGATGAATTATGTAACTAGCAATCGAAAATGGTGGAGTTCCTTTAATAAATTGGTTTTCAAAATATTCGTCCACTGCATCACAACCCAGTTTCTCTCGTGTTTTTATCCAACACATTACGGCATCAGCCACTGTTGCGTTATCCGCTTGAAGCTGGAAAAATTTCGATCAGTTAATTGAGTCATTTATAGTGTCGTGTTATTTTACGTAAATGTGGAGATTCTTACAGTGTCCAGGGCGCATCCAATTGGTTCTAACACAGAGAGTGCCTTTGCTAGTCGTGGGAAAACTGAAGCGTCGTTGAGTATCTCCTTGATTTGAAGTGGCATGTTGGCATCTTTTCTTGATACTTCTAAGTATTTTGTTTGATGGACATTGTAACATCGAAAGCAATCTAATTGGCTATTCCATCTCGTATCACCAGGAATTGGTGGACGAGGGCCATTCAACTTCTTCAGCGATGCTGCTGCGAAATCGTGATTTCTGAAGTATTTATGTACTTCGACAATTTTATTTTTAATGTCTTCGGGGGTTTTGTTTTTGCCCACAAGGTTCAACAGGTGCGAATTGCATCCATATGCCAAAATTGATGAGTTTTGCTCCACCAAGCGCCGCTTCATCAACTCCATGGTGGAGCAATTATCAGTAATGCACCCGACTATCGTTACTCCATACTTGGTCTCCGTATTCTCCATGCAATTTGTTAACCGTCGAAGGCAATTGGCAGCATCTTTTTTTTCTTCTTCAGTTACTATTGCGTCAATAAAAAAAACTTCTCCTTCAACATAAAGCGAGTGTGCAATGACAGCCTCGTGTTGGTTTGTAGTCCATCCATCCTGAATTATTGTTTCAATTTTTCCTTGGATTTTCTTTACAACATGGAGGGAAGTTTCGTCATATAGCTCATCTAACAGAGTACTGCCAACTTGCTTTTGTGTAGGTGTATTATAAGAAGGCCGCAGCGATTTAACAAATTCCAAAAAGTACGGATTTTCAACAATGCGAAACGGGATGTTTGACGAACAAATGAACTTCATCAGTTTACGGTGCAGATCGGTTTGTTCTTGAATACTAGTTGAGCCAAAGAAAGATTTAATTTTCGTTTGCGTTTTTCCAATATTTTGAATCGGCTGTCGTGGAGAACTGAACACTACTGCTGCATTTGATTTAGTTGAAAGAGGAATATTTTTGGTTTTATTGGATAGTTTTCTACCACATTTCATTTCAAAATGTTTTTTAAGGCGCTCCATCTTCGGTTTTTTAACGGTCCATTCGCACCATTTGCACGCCCAAGTGCCGGGGAAATTAGCTAGTTCCATATATTGTTCCCATATTTTGTCCTTGATTCTTCCACCGCCATGTCTTTTCACCCTATTCTTCAATATCTGCTCGATAGACGTGGGTGGAACAAAGAAGTCGTCATCTGAGGCAGTATCTTCACTCTCTTCCACATACTCTGGATCGGTGTCCATTGGGTTGTCTTCATCTACGCCAAGAATTTCTGCGACATCGTCTTCTGAAATGGCTAATTCTTTGTCCTTCTCGCTGGAATCGGCTTCAGAGTCTAAAATAAATTAAAAGAAGTTTCAACTAACGAATGATGATAAGGTGATGATAAGGTGATGGCATTTGATGATGAGGATATTTAATTTACCAAGTCGATCCAACTCAGTGACAATGTCTTGACTCCCAACAAGAACTAAATTATGATCTCTCGAACGACTCATGTTTCAATATCGGTTCCTGTCCTTGGCCTATTCTTATCTGGTAACGTTTCAAGCAAGAGATTATTTACGAGTTTTTATACATTATTTGGATGTTAACAATGGATCGAATGGAGCAAAATAACTGCCAATTTATTTACATGAAGCGGTCATGTAAACTGGGGCAGATTGACGATTTTTCTATGTTTAAATGCAAAAAGGCATTAACAGGCAAAAAGGCACGGTAAAAGGCAATTGGGCATTGAAATGGGCAAAAGGGCAAAAAGGCATGCATTTTTTTCCAAAAAGGCGCCTATTTGCACACTCTGAATGAGATTAGTTTTTTTTACATTTAAATATCTCAATGAACTAGTTTTCGGGATAAAACTTAAAATTTAGTTTTGATCAGAGTGACATTAACCAAATCATGATACGAATTAAATGTTATATATTAATGTGATGTTGCGTTGACATCATATGTAGTTATTATATGCACTGATTGATGAAGAGTATTAAACTTGAAATAAATCATGGTAATATTTTTTATCGGAATAATTCTAATTCAAAGTGTGATAATCGGTGCTGTCAGAGACAAAAAGACAACATTCTAAAGATGATTTTTTGTAGACGAAATCGTCCACTTGGTTGCTTGTTTTTGCTTTTATGTATGGTGGGACCAAGTAGTAGGTATCACCTAAGTGTGTAACTAAACACAATAAAGTAAAAAATTAAATAGATAAACAGCACCAAAAAAAGCAAAAAAAAAATTCAATTTTTGCTCTTTTTCTTCGCATATTGATCTATGGTCAGTGTATTATAACGAGATAAAATTTGCTTAAAGTTTTCTGAGAGGCTAAAAGCTGCGCGTAATGTAATTGTGACACGTGGGCCACTAAACCTTGTTCCACAAATTTGATCCGGTTTCAATACACTAACAACAGCTTATGTAATTGGCAGTCGGATAGGTGGTACCATCAGACATCAATTAAGCATGACAATATATATAAGAGAATTAGTTGTGAGCTGTTATTATGCTTTTTAGAAAACATTATTTTTAATCATATAAAATCACTTAAATTTGATTAGCACTATCGACGACCTTAAATTAATAAAGTTAAAATTAATTAAAGTTGTTCATGAAAATTCCTACTTTTCTTACCAACTAGGGGAACACGGTAGTCAAATCGGAGCGATCAATGACATTTGAACACTTTGATAACGAAAACGGACTTAAAGGAGGCTGTTTTTATAGTGCCTTAATGTTTTCAAAAATTGAAAATGAAATATCCGGCCAATATTTTTGCATCGTGAAACCATCCCTCAATTTTAATCCAAGTCGCCAGAAAGGCTTACAGAAGAAAATTACTGTCCTGTCAGGTGCAGACGTACCCTAATTTATTTTAATTATAAAAAGTTAATTAGGTTTATGCTAATCTAACAAATTAATTAATTTTAGGCTTATCTTTACTAACATTACCGGATGAAACGAGGCTGACATACGACTTGAATTGGCTCCTTATCCTGACAAAGGATCATAGATATAATGACAAACAATACCCCTATGAGTTACCCTGTGCTCAAAATTCGGACGATTCAGAGTTATCACTTTACTCCAAAGGAGAACAGGTATGGCACATATAGGCTTCATGTCAGATTCGTAACTACCGAAATAAATGTCGCGTTATGCCATTTACGACGGTGCCCATAAGTAAATATAAACACTGATACATTTTTAGAAATCTGGTAATAAGTTCTTGGTGGAGTCATGTACGTAAGCAGCAAGGTTGCTAGAAAAGCGCGTCTCTACAATTAAAAACAATTGCCACGAAACACTTTTCTTAATTTTTTTTGCGAAGTGTGGCCTCATGGTGCACAATGGGCCAGAGGTAAACGATAATTGCCAAAATTATAGCGTTGAGTATTCGAATTTTTTATGTATATGCTGAACTTCTAAGGTACAGGGATTATTTTAAAAATAGTGTCCTTCCGCCACGCCCCCAGGGGGAGGAGTTTTGTCCCCAGCCCCCCTTCATGAATTAGGTGAAAACTGATAATGGCGTTGGATTCCTCGTCATTTTTTAAGACGAAAGTGTTCTTACAATTTTCTCGAAATTCGCAATAATTTCCGAGATATCGGGGCGCAAAGTTTAGGCTGATTGACCTTTAAGCCCGTTTTTGACCTTGTTGCGACGCACTTCTAACCTAACCGAGTATGGGATCTAATGATAATATCCTAGGAATGCAAAAATTTGAAAGAAAATCGCTTCCAGCTATCTTGGTTACTAAGATTTCGGCTCCGTAAAATTGACTAAAAAAACGAAAAACCGGGAAATCGGAAGCCCGGTTTGTGACTAACTTGCAAGGTTTTCAAAAACGTTTTTCATGAAAGTATGCATTCACGAGTAAACTTAACATCTTGTAAAAAGAGAGACGTTCAAAAACCTTACAAGTTAGTCACAAACCGGGCTTCCGATTTCCCGGTTTTTCGGTTTTTTAGTCAATTTTACGGAGCCGAAATCTTAGTAACCAAGATAGCTGGAAACGATTTTCTTTCAAATTTTTGCATTCCTAGGATATTAGCATTAGATCCCATACTCGGTTAGAAGTGCGTCGCAACAAGGTCAAAAACGGGCTTAAAGGTCAATCAGCCTAAACTTTGCGCCCCGATATCTCGGAAATTATTGCGAATTTCGAGAAAATTGTAAGAACACTTTCGTCTTAAAAAATGACGAGGAATCCAACGCCATTATCAGTTTTCACCTAATTCATGAAGGGGGGGCTGGGGACAAAACTCCTCCCCCTGGGGCCGTGGCGGAAGGACACTATTTTTAAAATAATCCCTGTACCTTAGAAGTTCAGCATATACATAAAAAATTCGAATACTCAACGCTATAATTTTGGCAATTATCTTTTACCTCTGGCCCATTGTGTGGTGGTGGGCTTCGCCTGTATTACAAGAGGAGTTGTACCAGTTAACGTCTTTGCTATAATTTACAAAAGTGAGTCACGCTATTTTCGTACGGTCCTTGAATTTTAATTGGGCGATCAGTCATATTGGCTATGTTAGAGTTCCCTTATTATCAGCCCGTTTTCGATAGGCTATCCATAATGGGGTACTAAGAACTTATTACCATAATACCGAAAACCGAAATTCCTGATTTTATTAATCGGAAAATGTGTTCAAAAATTTCTCAGGATTCAAGTTGGACCTTGGAAAACATCACTCATCGAGATATCGCTGTCTCCCTGACGGTCACTTTGTACGAAACGGAGCTTCCCAAAGAGTACAAATGCGTGGCCAACAATATAACAAATTCTTTGCAAAATTCGACGATATACGTGAGAATCCCGTCATATCCAGGTACGTAAAGTTATACGTTGAATAATTCGGGGACAATATCATTTCCCATGTTTGTAGTATGAAAGTCTACCACGACATATGGTTACATATGTCGTCCGTGGTGGACAGCATAGATTATATTTTTTATACTGTCACGTGGGTGACCTGAACGTAGATTCAGGCCCAGGCTATGTGACGCATTCTAGACAAAATTGTATCCAAGGTTGATGAAATGCTGGAGATTACCTCCGCCTCAGAATAGATGTCGTGTCCGAATTTTTTTTGTGTATAATCAAATATAGCCAGGGTTTGCTATCTCGGGTTTTTCGGGTAGTTGGGTTTTATTATTCAGTTATGGTATATAACCGCTTGGTGGCGTTAATGAGACCCAATAAAACCCCCAAAAAACATATAACAAACTATACATAATAATTGGATAGAGGTTTTATTAAAATATGGTGTAGATAATTTACATTTGTTTTATTTTTTAAAATATTTAGTGACAGTCTACTGGCCCGACGGGGAGGATATTGTTTACAAAGATTTAAATATATTTTACTGCATTTCTCGGATTCCGATTCGATTCGAGAAGCCAGACAATCTCCCAACATATCTTACCGACACTAAGGCGGGATTTGTCGATTATTATATCAACATGGGTTTCAAGTACACGAAGGCTGTGAAAGTTGTGTTGAATGATAGCGCAACGCATGATGATGAGGAGGTGGGACGTGTGACATGTGTTGATCAAGATACTGACGGAATGGAGGTCAATTTTAGTTGGAACTATACAATTTCAAATAGTAAGTTTGGCGGATTTTTAGACAATATTATACTCTGTACATATTACAAAGATATGAAATTCGACGCAAATTTGTATTCTCAAAATTTGATTATTTCAAAAACTAAATATTTTTGGTCAGACTGAGAATTTCAATTTTAAATTTTAAATTATATATTTATCGATATGTTTATGTAGAGTTAGGTCAGGTTTCTCATCTTACTCACCTATAAACTACATAAATCCGCAAATCGATACAATTAAAGTTCAAAGCTTAAATTTTTACTAATCTGAAAATTAAGTCTACTCCTTTAACTTTCTTACATTATATTAGAAAAATGATCTACTTTGGGTAGGAATTTTTCTCATTCTACTGCGCATTCCATAGTCTAACTGTCTCCATATATTTTTAAAGAAGGAGGAAACAACAACAAACGGGACCGCATAAGTTTGAACGGAGCCGAGAAGAGGGCTGAATGTAAGACATCTGTAGACGCCAAACTCACTGGGATTTTGCTTATCAAGGCAGTCAATCATGTGGAACTTTCGCTGAGACAAAATTGTCTCAGGTTACCGTACAAGGTGTGCTATTTCTATTTTCTTATGGCTTGCGCACAAAAACGAGACCATCCAAGACAAGACCTAACCTCGAGAAATCTATCCATACTCAGGGATTGATAGCTTTCGATTTTGATGACAATATGTAATTCAATTTTGGACACGCAAAAAATTTGCGCAATGATTTATCAATAATTCGATCTCGCTTTTATGCACAGATTATACCGTTTCATAGCTGTTTTTAATGTTAAACTTTATCTTAAATCAAGCTATGCAATTTTACAATATTGTTTTACGTAGGAGTGGAATTTTTGCAATCATCGAATTCCTGAGCTACTCCCACAACTGGACGCTGGAGACTCCTCATTCGTATATTCCCAAATTCCAAATGGAACTTCGGGAGCGTTTCAATGTTTGACGCCCGATGTGTATAATGATAATAACCACTACCAAGTATTTTCTGAGACGGTCAGACATCAATTAGGTAAAGTAAAGTTTAAATCATTGAGAATAATGATGAATCCGATGTAAGTAAAAACTATGCAGTTCTATACACTAAGGGATGGTAATTCCAGTAACAATATTTTTAGAAGATGGCAATATCTGATATGTTTTAAATATTATTGTTTCAATGACATGTGGGACACCCACTGTGTGTACCATGGTTGGGAAAAAAATCGGATCCTGAAGAGCGAACTACATTTCTGAAACCGCTTGATTTCGTTAATATAATAATGCCCAGGCAGTGATCATTTTTTTTAAATTTTCCCTTCTAAATTCGCATATGTGGACAAAAATTACATTTTTTCCAAAAATTGTAATCTCTAAATGACTTCAGGGCAGGTAAGCAGGGTTTGACGAAATCAGCTGTATCGAGCAAAAATTTTTGTATTCCTACTGTGACAATTTGTTACTTGAATCGTTATTCGTGGTAAAATCGCATATTGCCTCGGTCCGAGACCACAGAATATGTCAAATTTATTTTGAGTGTAAATATTTAAATAATAGATTGTATCAAGTCAGGTTGTGTAAATACTGGTTTGTAAATATGTTACAGGAAGTGCGCAGAACAAGAAGCAGGAATTCATCAAAGTGATCAAACTATCCAAATATAGCGTCTGGGTGGGAGACTCGATTCAAATTAGTTGCCTCTCTTCTGAAATGTATTTTTACGGGAGTGGAATTTGGGTTTTAATTTGGAACAACGGTAGCCAATCAGGGGTTCCGAAATGTATGAAAAATATTGTACCAGAGTAAATTATACAGTCAAAGAAATCTGATGATGTACAATAATTTTTAGCATGGATTGTATCCGGCAGCGTTGAAAGAGTTGGATCATTTTTAGAGCGACAAAGTGAAATTAAAATGAATACCTTGGACATCATTGGGATAACGTGTGGAGGCGTTTCTATCATTTATTCAGACAAGGAGAGACGTTCTGATAACAATGTTCGACTCGTATTTCCAGAAAAGGAATATCTTAATTTGCGTATTATTGAAAGTCAGTATTTGTTTGGTTTGTTGGTCTATTCTAACAAGGAAACCCACCAAATTGCCTATCGAGCTTAGGGTTTAAATTTCTACCAAATTATGCACAAAACATGACTACTTCAGCGAAGCTTAGGAATTTACGTGCCAAAATCACTTTTCGGCAAGTCGTGGCAAAACATGTAACGCGAGTATGATCGTGTTTAAAGGCGACCTGTAGGCAGAGTAAAGAGCATTGACCTTAACCGAGGATGAAAGCGCTTTCATATACCGTTGAACTTTGACCAGGTCACAACTTAGTGACATTGATATGGAAATTATTTTACTTTTCTAATCAAGTCATATATCGTGCACAAATTGGTATAGGTGGCAACCCATTACTTGATTGGCACCTTGGTGACCACCCTAGTAAGGAAACTAACTTAATTTAATTTATTATTATTTTTGACTGTAGAACCCTCGACATCGACGGTGGTCCCGATGGTAATTGTAGTAACGGTTTCATCAGTCGGACTACTTTTCATCGTCATTCTTTTCGGGTTTGGAATTTGGTTGTGGAGAAGGCCTCCAGTAGATATCGTGTTCGACAAATTAATTAAAGACTTCTTCAACGGGTACGAGTGCCATGCGGAGGGAGATGATGGGACACAGCTGTGCCAAAATGCAGAGAGCAAACCATACGATAAATCTTATGAGATTTCATTAGACAACATAGCGATCCGTACGTTCAACATGGTGACGGAGTTATAGAATACAATCATAATAATTGGAAAACAATGCTATGTATTATGTATTACCGACGGAGGTACTATTCAGACAATTCAGAAAATTCGATACGAATTTGATGCATACATTTTAGATATTTGAGTAAAAATATTGTGTGTACTCACGTCAACGTTGCAAACGCGGTAAACGTCACATCGCAACATAACTTACTTGCGAGATCTGCGAAAGTTCGCAAACTTTCCCATGGAAAATGCGCTTGCGAACCTTTGTAACTATGCGCAGCTCGAGGGTATGTTTTTATTTCGCAAAATAATTTCGCAAAATTGTGTTGCGATGAGACGTTTGCGCCTGATGTGAGTACGCACATTGTTAACGGTGTTTTCACAATTTCAATCTACCGTGAGGCTACAATTTGTTACTGAAGAGTCACAATTTGCTTGCGAATAGGTAACATGTTATATCCAGTGTGGTGACATATTTACTTGGGTTTGGCAGGATTTAACGTATGCTTCCACATACGCCTGACTTGGGTGACAAATTGCATTCAAAAGGGGAAAGTGCATCTGCCGTAATAATATTGTCACAAGATTATTTTGCTAGCTAAAATTTAGAACACATTCATATTCATTTGATGTATTCGATGTGAATTAGCTTTACATTCCTAGAACCCACCCCGAATTCAGTATCAGAATGCGAGTAGAATGTTGTCCCCCAATTCGAATATGCACAATTATACAATTCTACCGGTTGAGATGGGAGATTATGCAACATTTAGCGTGCATATTATACTTTCCTCGATTGTAAAGATATTACCAGAGAGGATCTAAATAAGTACCACCGTCGGTAACAATGTGGTCGGAAAATTATTTGGAGTGTAAGTATATGGAAAAGGTTTCCAAATATATTTTAATTTTGCAAATGGTTAATCGCCAGATTGGGATTCCCCCCTCGGAAGCGGGGCTTACGGGATGGTGTTGAACGGGACTTTGCGTGGAAAACCGGATAATACAGCAAAAAATAATAAAAATATCAAGAAGAGCAACACCGCAAATCTTTTCAAAATTGCTGTAAAGACTGTAAAACCTAGTTTGGACTCGACCAGTCTGACAGCACTCTTGTCCGAATTGAAAGTCATGATTTATATTGGAAGACATGAAAATATTATCGGTCTGATTGGTGCATGTACAGAGAAATTATGGAATCGTGAGTAACCTAAAGCTTGCTAAATTAATTACCTGATGTGCAACGTTATTCAATCCGCAATCGTAAAGATTCGAAACCACTGATGATATTTTCGTCCTAAAACATATGATCGAATGTCAGTAGAATTCGCGAATGTTATCTGCATTGCGTCCTTACACCTTAACAAATTCGATTAACGATTTATAGTAGCATTTGCGAATTGTATTCTAACAAATCGTGCACAGCGCAAAAATAGGAACGAGCGCGTCGGATAATTTCCGTTAAATTAATGACATGTTAAAAAATTGATTTTTAATTAGGCGAGTTATACCTGATCTTGGAATATTGCCAACATGGCTCCCTTCAAAAATATTTGCAGGACAATCGATCCGATTTTAAGAATAGTTCGACGAAACGTGTCACTAAAGATCCTACTCAATTGATCAGGTAAATGTTTAAAATGAATTTCAAAACAGGACATACCTTCCATTGCATTGAGATGTTTGGTAAAAGCGTCTACCGGGTATTCAGAGAATGAGGGTTGATTTGTTACCCATTAAGTTTTTTTACGCAATCGCATTTACGTACTAAGAAAATTGTTATTTCCCTTGTTTGTTTGCCCTTAGCGAGTATCAAAATCATTGGGGAGACACGTTCAAAATAAATTTGCACGATTTATTCCGCTGGAGTGTGGAAATAGCGGCAGGAATGAATTATCTTGCTGAACGAAAGGTATGTTTTTATAATGTATTCTGGTCAAGATTGAAATTCTGATCTTATGGTACAAGGTATTTCATGGAGATTTGGCGGCCAGGAATGTCCTTCTAGATTCTTCATTGACAGCGAAAGTTTCTGACTTTGGACTGTCGAGAAGACTTTATGAAAGATATGAATATGTGAAACAGTCGAAAGTAAGCTTACTTATAACAATCAGTCAACTTTGAATTAATTGCCTTATCCTATACTATAGCCGCACCCTAACTTTTGGGTTTTCTGACATTGTAAACTTTAAACCTATGTAGGAGCCTTTACCTTGGCGCTGGATGGCACCTGAGTCACTCAGGGATTTGACGTTTTCCACTGAAAGCGACGTTTGGTCATTTGGGATTACACTGTGGGAAATATTTTCCTTGGGGCATGTTCCGTATTCTGGAATTCAATACACTTCCGGATTCATTGAGTCACTCGAAACAAATTATCGTTTATCAAAACCTCAATATGCATCGGTCAAGATGTAAGTAAATTACGAATCGTTTTATCGCAAGAAATCAAATCAAGAGGCATTTTTAGTCTGATAATAGACTCCCGTAGTCAGCATTTGAACCGTAAATTACTGAACATGTTCATGAATTGGCTTAAATATTGGTTCCAAATTATTTCGAATTTAACTGCCGGACTAAGAGGAACTTAGGAGTTAAAATTATTGAAGTAGACTTTAGGGAATTTAAAGTAATTCAGATTAAATCCCCTCCTAGCCCCTCGGTCAACATATTTATAATTAGAATCGGAATAATATTAAGTATCGCTAAATAATGTGAATAATATTCTTATCATTTTTCCCCAGGTATGATTTAATGTTGGCATGCTGGGACAATGATGTAATTGAAAGACCCGCCTTTTTCGACATTGTGGACGGAGTAATCAACATGCTCAATGAGATAGAATGAGGACAGACATTTCACACAACGATTCAAAATCACAGACTGGTGATCAGGGCATAAATATATAAAATTATGTACTTATAAATGTACGAATCACAGTAGAGCTATTACTTGCAAAGTTATTGTAGTAGTATTTAAATAGATGTTTTATTGATTTTTAAATAAAGTTGTATAACCGTTGATTGATAAATCTTATTTATATACATACAAAGTCATTCATGTAAAATTCACGTAAATTAATGTAAGTTAATGTAAAACTTAGAAGAAAGTTCGTAATAAATGCGTAATCTTAACATTCTGATTTCAACCTTTCATTCAAGAGAGTGACTCCTACAATTGAGCAGTATTACAGTGACACTTACTGCTTATTGTTTGTGAACATATCTATTGATTCAAATATTCAAATATTTTCGGTAATAGCTTAAATAAACGGACATGCTAATACTGTAGAATTGTTTTGTGCTTCCATAGAAACAGTTTTGCCAGGAATGTACTGCCCCTGTATTGCATATAACTTCATGCTAGGAATAGGATGAATTCCAGATGTTACGTGGTGAACAATTTCTAAAGAAATATTTTGTTAAATAAGTAAATAGTTAGATAAACTTAAACATATCATATTTTTCATATGCAATCATCATGAAAATCAAGTGTTGTTCCCTCCAATTTTACGGTTTTCCTAGTAATACAAGGTTTCATCTCATTTCAAACAGAATATCATTTTCGGTCATTTAAGCGAAGTGAAGTTGGATTGTTGTAGCCACCAATTTTACTGTTTTCTTACAATATCAGATATTATATCTCATTTCAAACATAAATCTTGTGAATCTGTAGTTTTAGTTTTTTATGCTATTTTTACATTTCGCTTACTTTTGACGGTGTGAATATCTGACTTTTTAAACTTGTCAAGCCTATCTGGGGTTCGAATCTAAACAAAATTTGCACCCTTCAAAAATAATCTTGTAGAAATTTTAACTCGATAGAAATACATTATTGACACTAATTGTACAACAATTGTGACCAGTATTACACCAATATACCCAACAAAAACGGTAGACACGGCTTTCATTAGATTTAACGGTTCCACTCTTCCAGGATGGTTTAACGATTCCAAAATATTTCTCGTATTATTGCTCACCCAACCGGATACTTTGTTTGACTTTGACTTTAAAACTGACTGCATGTAATGGTAGCATCGGCTCTCTATAAAGAAACTGATTTTTCGTCCAAGTTTTGAAATTCCCTCGTTTCGTAGTTCAAATCCTTTAATGCGACGCATAATTTGACGCTTACTCATCCAGAAATTTATCCAGTAGTAGTGCCTACAACGGAATATAATGTGCTAATTATATTCCCAAATTAGTGTTTCGACCCCAAATAATATGGCAACGAATCATGCGAAAATTGTTTGATAAAAAAATTCAATGCAAAATTGATTTTAACTTATTTTGCTGTACATACACGGTAAAAACTGTCAGCTGATTTTCAGTACGGACGTACCAAGAATCGTATTGCGAGCGGTCCCCACTTGATTGGAATTGGAATTTATTTACTAACTGCTAGTGGATTACCACTTCAGTCAAGTGAGGACCGCTCGCAATACGATTCTTGGTACGTCCGTACTGAAAATCAGCTGGAAGTTTTTACCGTGTAGGTTGAACTCAAGCAAAAATGTACTATTCTTGCTTGATTGTTGACGTTGAGTGCAGATTCACAATTTTGCGGAGATTGATAGAAACTCGGCACGGTAATAATGCATATACCGAGACGTTATTTGCAGTGTAAATTAAATTTGCTACCTTGATAAATAAACGAACTTTTCCTTCAATTCGTCCGAATAATCGACCCAAGCCGTCTTTCCACACTTAACGAGTTCCTCTTCAAATATTTTCTCGAATGAGGCAACCCTTAAAAGGGTAACCCATTCTTTTGACAAATATTCATGGCCATACGGATACAAGAGATGGAATGCAAGGATATCTTCGTACGTGTCTGGTTCTTCCTGTAAAGATATTTGCAAATTTACAAAGTTACGCGTTGTAGAAAAAAAATATACACGAAAGACTAACCGGAAGTGCAAATATCGGCATACCTGCCCGCACAAACTGCAAACTGCTATGTCTCTCTTTTGCAAATTGGTGCAACCCATAGGCAAATTTTGTCATGAATATCCCCCTTTCTCTTAAAAATGCGACTGTAGCATCAAAATTTTTTTCACCTCGCGCATTAAGATATCTGACGAAGGTGTTTTTATAATCGGGAGATGACACGAGGCGGAAATTTGTGTCGGCGTCCAATTTCTGGAAGGTGTGTTCCTTATAAATTGTGAGATTCGTCCAAATATTTCGCGGGCAAGGGTTCAAATTATTGTCGGGGTGATGGCCATGATAATTGCACACGGGACTTGCTAAATCCTCGAAAAATTCCTTACTGATTTTGGGAAATGGAGCGCAGACGTAGTTCAGCAAGACTCCGATATATCCTATAGAAGATTTGGGAATAGTATTAGAATTAAATATGGGTGACTAAATATATTATAACGGATATTTATGGTGGTCGTGTTATGTATAATTTGTTTCTGAACAACTAATAACAGCACGTATTTATACGCAGGGTTAGCTATACCATAGGTCGGATCCCTCCGGCTGCCGGAGGGCATTTTTGCCCTACGGAGGGCTATGTGCATGGATTTTGGCGGAGGGCGGAGGGCAGTGAATTAGCCGGAGGGCATTGCGGGTAGAGGGCAAAAAATGCCCTCCGGAGGGCGGATAGCAGTGATTTGGCTGGAGGGCATGGAGGGCGGAGAGCATGGTTAGGGTCGGAGGGCGGAGGGATCCGATCTATGAGCTATACGTTTTTTATGGTTGGGTTTCATTGAAAAAACCTCTGGTTCTTTAATTAAAACTCCTACCCATGGTTTTAAGGTTTTATTAGTTAATTGTTGGCAATAAGCAGTAGATGCAAGAAGTAATAAAATTCAATGAAGTCAGGATTTTTTAAAGAGCATAGTTTCCCGTAAAACACTATCAACCCATTTGTACATAATTGACTTAAGAGCCCGAGTTTTTTCCAAACTTTGTGTACAGCATGTATCCATCACGATCCCAATTGTTAGATTCGCACAAAAAATGTAAAAATTCAAAAAAGCTGCAATATAGTAGTTTGTCATACCTTGCGTGAAAATGACGGAGACCAAGAACCAAGGCCCTAGTCCAATCCTGATCGCTACCCTTTTCTCAACATGACCACTAATGTTGTACGATTGTCCTATCAGACTCGAGACGAAAAGTGTCCACGCGGATACGAATCTTTCGTTATGAATGGTACGAACATATAGCGCTAAAAGTAACGTCATTACAGCGGTCGTAGAGATGAGCCAGATCCATAACGTTGCGTGAAATGGAATCAGAAATATTTCGAAATCATAACTTGATTTGGACCAGCAAGTCAGGAAATTGAATTCCTGCGTATTGGTTGCAAACGTGTAATCAGAGAAGGCAGGGTGTGTTCCTTCATTAGAGAGGTATTGCCTGTAAAGAAAAAAGTTGCTTAATTTAAGGAAGTTATATAGCTCTTTATTTTGTTAAAGATCGTTAAATTCGGAGCCTTGCAATACTAGTACCATGAAACCGATGAACTAATTAATTAATACGTTTTACTCCGTTAATTTAAGATTCCTAATCAGTTATAGTGGAATCAAGAAAAACAGTGCAACGACTTATTCTAATTTTTGTAATGGATTACGCAGAAAGCACATGGGAAATGTTGCCTTGAGACTTTTGACATTCTACATACCATGTACTTTTTGGGGTTACTGGACTACTCATATTTAGAGATAGCCCAAACCAGCATCAGTAGCACATTCAAGACTAATTACCGACTTCTACATGTCATACTTAGCTACATAAATAGAATGGATCCCTCCAGCGCCGGAGTGTATTGGTGCCCACGAATTGTAGAGGGCACGAATTTTGATGGACTGCGGATGGCAATAGGTTTTGCGGAGGGACCCGATCTATGCTTATATATTCAATATTGCTTTTAAAACTATATTTTTACATACCTTCCCCCACCGTAAGTCTCATCAAACACGAGAGGAAGTGATGTCCATAAATGCCTCTCGAAAAAGGGGGAGTGAACTATAGTCAGGTTGAACCCGCAGAAGAACCCCGCCTGGCTTATACCTCTGCTGTTGGGATGTATAATTTTCTGCTGAGTTTGACACCCATTCGAAACATATTGATCAAATTGGTAGGAATGCTTTGTTATTATGGTTTTAACCGGGGCCAAGATCTCAACCATTTCCACCAACCGATCTGAACGTCTCAACATGCCCCTCGTATCTTTTCCCCCGCCAAACGTCCACGAAATACCTTTGGCGCGATTAGTAATATATCCTATCCTAATAAATGTAGGACCATCGTACAAAGAACAGTGCGAACAAATCAATGTAACCTCAGAATCTGAACCCTCCCCAGAAACCTGGACCATAAATACGGTCGCGAATACGGCCGGATTCTCTAACATGTCAAGCTGCCTCGTGAAGAAGCTATGGCTCGGAAATTCTTTTGATGATCGTGGAATCCATTTGGTTAACCAAAATATGGCCGAGGGGCCTTTGAAGTATGTCAGTGCGTTAACTTTAACGGCATAGACAAAATTTTCACGAGGATATTCGATCAGGTTTCGTCCTGAATTAACGCCATGGAGAAGTTTTTGTGATTCATAATGTGGCAGATGATCTAACGATTGGTTTAAGATGTCTGGTGTGGTGGAGAGAACTAATAAAATTATCATGTGCGTAATGGCGGATGGTTTTATAGTGTGAGGTGAAATTGTCGGTAGGACATTGTACATTTGTTTGGCATGTTCATTGTTCAGGTTCGTTATTTTGTAGAAGGTGTTTGGTGTTTGGACTTCAAAATCGGGGGGAAAGTTTGTTTCTAGATTGTGCTTGTCGGTCACGACGTGAAGGTGACTGCCAGGTGGTAGGGTACCAATTTCGAATAGTAAAGCGGTAAGCTCCGCCATCTTGATAAACGTGGCAAGAATTATGTCAAACGGTTCGATTTATTACTCAAAATGAAGTTGTGGTAACGAATCTTTCTTAATTTATTTATTTATTAAAAGATTTGCGTTACCAACACCTTGCCGAACTAGAGTGGCAATAAATTCTAAGAAATTTAGATTGATTACTTTCTGATTAGAAAATTAATGGTAGTGCTGATCTATGTATTTATATGTATTGTGTGTTAGAATGTTAAGAAATATTCGTGATGCTAAAGAGCATCATCTTGCCTCCGCATGGTATTGATTCGACACTTTGAGTCTAAGTTTTAAGTTGACTGTTCGGTTAAAATTGATGCCAACCAAATGATACATAATGAAACTCACTTTAATAATGGTTAGGCTAAAGTGGAACAGATAAATTTAATTTGAAGAGGATACGCGTGTAAAGATAAAGACATAAATTAAGGCGACGAACTAGAAACTTTTATTGTTATTTAAGTATTCATAAGATGGAAAGAATTTAAAAAATTAAATTACACAAACAAACCAATCATTTTTACTCACATATTTTTGCGTAGGTGATAAATTGGAATTATGTACATGTTTGGAGTATTGACACGATATGGTTATCCATTAAGGAATTAGAGCAATAACAAAGATATTAAGTTGTTACAGAGCATGAACAATTTTCTTGTACGAATCCATAAATTGTCAAAAGTTCGTCGTGAAGATTGTTCTTTCATTTGGTTGAGTGGATGAAATTATCTAATTTATTTGTGAAATTGTGGCGATACTTTTAAATAAATAAGTATGTTAATAATGACGATTTACTGAAACATAGAGTAAAAATTGTTTCCTTGATGTAACGAATTAAGGTCTTATCTGTACAATACATAAATTGTTATACACTGCTTCTAGATATTTGAAGCAGTAATTCTTGAATTATGAGTTAGAGTTATGCATATGGTTACACGAAACAAAGCTCCATATTCATATTATGAATGTTCCACAAATGAGTTTATGTAATTGCATAAAACTATAGATAGTTCGTGTTAATAGTTATTTTTCTTTAACAAAAATCATCCGTGGTCTATAGTCCTTTTCAAATTTGATTATGTATACCTTCAGGTATAAGGATTATATAATACCAAGCAAAATAATTTATTTTGTCTCGTATTTACTTAAGCTTCCGTTATTATATGTATGATTGTCGAAATTTATAATTATTTCTGCCGTCCCAAACTTAACTGTAAATTGAGAATGATTCGTTATAATTGTACATATAAATGTCAGAATCTGTGATTGAATAGAGTTTTCAGTACAAAAGATGCATAACCTTTTATACGATTTTTACTGCTAAATTAATTAAAATGATGACCAAATTATTATTTATTTTAGATTTATTTATCAACCTATCAATCGTCATGCTAATCAGTAATATAAATTGGGAAGAGGGTTGCAATAATTCAAAATACTAAAATGTACATTAATTAGACACATTTATCATTAACGAGGTAGGAGGATAGATTTTGAGTAAATTGCTTCAGAACAAATTAAAAATTCGTGCGGGAAATTTGTAAACTAGTAAATAAGTCTTTATCTCTAACAATATTGAAATAAATAAATGTAATTCCAAATTAAAAATTACAACTACTCCTTATTATCATCATTATCATCACCCCCAACGTTTTCAGGAAGCTTTGAAATTTTCAAAAATTCGTCACATTCCATCCCTTCAACTTCATTTTTGTTCACATGGCTCCTAAAATGCTTTCGGACATCGTTCCTATGGAAAAAGTTCATCCCGCAGAAATGGCACGTGTACCGCACCACTTTAAGATGCACCCTGTTCTTGTGCTCCCACAAATTCCCGCTTTGCGCGAAACTTTTCCCGCACAAGTGACACAAATGTGTTTTCTCTTTTGGAACTCCCGCCATCTCATGTACCCCCACGGTGTGCAACTTCAAACCGTGCGAAGTGAAGAACTTCTTCCCACAATGTTTACACTCGTACCGCTTCTCACCCTCGTGAACGCGCTTCTTGTGAATTTTCAGCTCCACGAGGAGCATAGATTTTCCGCAAATGTCGCACATCCCTTTCGGTTTTGGCGCAGAGTTTGCTTAGGATTTTGAACTAGTGCAATATTTTTCTATATGTTTGCGTAGGGCATGTTTCATTGCGAATATTCGGGGACAATTTGGGCACGGAAATTCAGCACAGGGAGGATTTTCGTCTGGATTATCTTTGCGAAGTTTTTTCCTGCGCGGGACCCTCCCTGAATTCAAATTCTTTCCCATTTTGCACACATGGTCTTGATGCACCTTTAGAGATTCGAGTCGGGTAAACTTTGTCCCACATTTTTCACAAGAGTACGGCTTTTCTCCAGTGTGTGCAAAAATGTGTTTTGATAAGCTCGGTTTTGTGTAGAAAGTTGCGGGGCACCCTTCAATCGGACAGGAGACGATATTGACCTTAAACGGGAGGGTACTGAGGTCGAAGGGTACGTCGCAAATTGTTATTTGATGTCCAACCCAGGCTATCTTGGAAGCAAGCAGTTTCCCACATTTGAGGCATGCATACGTTTTCCTGGGGGGTAGAGATGGGTCCCCGGTGCGGTGTTTGGCAGACACATGATTCCGCAGGGTGTGCGCGGAGGAGAAAGATTTTGGGCAGTGGGGGCATATGTGGGATTTTATGTTAAGGTGACGCACCTTATAGTGAGCTTTCCAGCTGTCGAGGCGCGTGAAAGGGATGGGGGTGGGGCACAAGGTGCATTTGAGGTTGGTGGGGTCGACACTTGGGTAGATTGTTGTGTCCTTTCTATATTTTCTAGACGTGGCTAAAACTTTTCGCTTCCTCTGGTTTCTCCTCTGAATTTCTGTGCAACGTTTCCTAATTTTTGTGCGTTTCTCTGGTGTGAACTCCGGATCGGTTTCGGCATCGGAATCCTCTCCATTTGATGCAGCTGTGGGGGAGGTGGGTAACCAATCATCATCGTTTTTGTTGTTATTATCTCTAAAAAATAAAGCAAGGATTATTTAGTAACAAGATTAAATTTGCCACATTTTTAATTTACTTGACATCATGGTCATCGTTATCGGAAGTCATTCCGTTTAATTCGTCAACTGCAACTTCCGCATCCCCCTGGTCGAACGGTGGCTCACTTTTAACGTTTTCTCTCGTCTGGAAAAAATGGTGAAAGGCAAATTTTATTATACCAAATAATTTTAATTAAACTGTAATTGTACCAAAAACACTAAAGAAAAGCAAAACAAAGAATAATTTCACATAATAAGGATTAATTTATACCCACCTTTATTACTGGCCTAGCTTTGATGTGCTTCTTATTTATCGCATTCCTGCAAATCTTTACATGCTTAGATAATGCAAGTTCCGTCCTGAACTTCCGGTCACAATGTTTGCACGGGTGGAGGGCGATTTGTTCATCTACTGTGGGTTTTTTGTTCTTTTTAACTCTCTCCAACCGTTTCCCAGCCAGGCAGGCATGATCCTGATGAATTCTAAGAGAATCAATCCTCGTAAATCGATCCCCACACAGGTCACACTCATACGGTTTATCCCCAGTGTGTGTGAGTGCATGGTTTTTTAAGGTCTTAGCTCCATAAAACTTGGCCCCGCAGCCTTCAACGGGACATTGGGTGATGGTTATTTTGAATAATAAGATAAGTCTAAGGGTATGTTGCATACAGTTAATTGATGTCCCGCCCAAGCGAACTTTGACCCGAGCCGTTTCCCGCATTTGGGACATGGATACGTTTTTCTGGATGGGAGTGAGGGGTCGCTTGAGGGGTGTTTGGAAGCTGTATGGGTGCGGAGGATGTGCCCAGTGGAGAAGGATTTTGGGCAGTGGGTACACTTGAAGGATTTTGCGAGGCCGAGGTGATGTCTCTCATAATGGGAGCGCCAGTAGTCGATGCGGGCGTATTTTATGGAGGGGGCAGGGCAGGCAGGGCATATGATGTTGTTGAGGTCGGGGATTTCGGGGAATGTCAATTTCTTCTTTGGGGAAGACGAGTTTTTTCTCCGGTACCTTTTCCGTCCAGATTTTCTAGTGGTGGAGGTGGGTGTGGTTCTTTTCCTGCGAACGGAACGGGGTTGGAAAGATACGTCGGATTTATTGTCGTCGTCTTGGTTTGTTTCTCTGAAAGTAATAATACAGAATAAAGTTTAATTTGGTTGGATGGTTTCTAATTAGTTATTTTTATTCACTAACGGGCTATATCCGACTTCGGGTTGAATTTCTGGTCCGAATCCGTCATCGTGATCTGATTCTGGCTCAGTTTTTATGATGTTGGTGTAAATCTTAAAGGAAAAATTGATAAGGGGACAGGTTAACTATTTTAATTATTTAAAATAATCGTAATTTGATTTAGTTTTATACCTCAGTTTCCAAAAAATCCATTGACATGCTATCCTGAATATCTTTCTGGTCCATGGTTTCCATGGAGACATCACGGGTTGATGATATAGCCCGAAAATCCTTGGTGTCGCTCTTTTGTGGGACATTTTAAAACAATTAAAAAATCATTTCATATCAGAATTATTAAAATAAATGTGGATAGAACATGAAGTTTTTACGAACTTGTACATTTTCTAAATTGGAGGAGTTTGGTTGAATCCGAATTTTCCTTCTGTCACTCAACAAGATTAAATTCTTATCAATTTGCGCCTTAATATTATCCAATTCAGTCTCCAAATCGAGTAAGATGTTTAAGATCTTGACACACTCGGAACAACAATTCTTGCAAAAATCGACTGAATCTGGATTAATTTGCAACTGAGGAATGGTGGAATTCTTCAAAATTTGTACTATTTTATCGCTATCATTCACACTGCTGGTGCCAGTGATGTTGTCATTAACACCCAAACAAGACCAACATTTTCCCAACTTTGACAAATAATTTAGCACTTTCTCCTCAATTTGTGGAGATTTAGTTAATTTTATGGACACCTCTTTTCGCAAACTATTTGAAATTGCCTCCTCCATAATTATTGTGTGAAGCTGAATCTGTACTTTGATTAGTTTAGACAATTAAAAAATTTAAATTAAGTCAGATCGAATTAATTTAGTTGATGTAAATTAATTTTTAAACATTGAGTTGAAATTGAGCAGAAACCAGCTGCAGACTTCGTGTTTCTCCGCTTGAGTTCTTGTATTCAATGGTGGATTTGTCGACTCTTACCAGCACCGTGCTTTGTCTCTGTTGAGTCTGAAAGTCATGGAAATGTAAATATTCATTTTAATGTGGTGCAGCGTGGTTGGTGAAAGTTTTTAGGTTTGCCTTTGTTAAATATCATAGTGCAGGAAAGCTACATGCATACATAGTTATGCATAAGTATGTGTGTGTGGATGCAGCCAATAAATTATTAATATATCAATTAACTTTTATGCGTTAACTTGAAACAAGAAAATTAGATAAAAAAGTACAAAACTGTAATTAAATTTCGATTTATGACAATTTAATTCATAAATTAAAAAAAACATGGGTATTTTAACAATCAAATTTATGAGTTACATTTAAAAAAAGTAAATTAAATTAAGCTTTGTTTGCAGCCATATATGAAAATTACATGCATTTCAAAAATCAATGATGCCTCTCATGCTTTAAACTACTCAAGTTGATTTTATTTTAAAATTATCATTTTGACAACTTCAATCGATAAGTTTATAAATTTGAGTAGTGAAGAGAATGTGATGGATGGCCATCAATATATAACTGTATACATAAATATGTAACACACTTATGCTTTTTTTATTTTAACCGGGGCAAATTCTTGGCACAAGGTTTTGTAGTGGACATACCTGAATAACACTACGGCAAGTTTTTAACCTGTAGGAGAAATTGGAGCGAAATTAGATCTCTTTATACATAATACACCGACCATATGTAGATAGTATTTATCGCTATCTCGTAGGTTTTGTTGTCCTAAAAGCAATAAATGTAGATGAGCCTATCTATTTATTTGCCAAGGGTTTATGGTGCCACATCCATTAATCCGGATTTTTTTGAGAGCATCAATAACATGACGTTAATTTGGAAAAGTGGAGTATCAAAGGGGAGAGAAAGTTTGGCATAGAATCGATAGCATAGATAGATATGGATACTGTTCGATAAGCAATACGCCCACGGTGTAATGTTCATTTTTCTGTGAGTTGATACAAGCAAACATCACCCCAAGAGGAGAAAATCTATCGCAAAAAACGACACTGATCCAGATCACGTATTCACTTTTACGGACGTGATCTCAATCTGTGTTAAGAGCTATAAGCCTTGATTTCTCTTGCCAAATGTGAGATAATGGTCTTGTAATATAAAGTGTTTACACTACACTTTCTACGTCACGGCATCCTTGATTTTGGGAAAAGTATGGATAGATTTCTCTGACTGAACAAGTAAATTCTGTCTTTCTCGTCAGTATTAGTACGCCACCGATTCACCTCACGTATTTGTTGGTCTACAAAGTGCGGAGAAAGTGGGAAATTTTCCCAGAGGATAATTTGGGGGCCGGGTGTAAGATGGACAATGACAACATGGACATGCAAATACGGAGACATACGTAAATATGGACAGATATAACATGGACAACGAAAACATGGACAGGCTGAAACGTATACAAGGGCACAAAATCGACATTTATTGCCATTATTTAATTTATGAACAAATTCTTTTTTATAGATTATTATGCAAAAATTATATTTTTCACATTCGAGGTACTTTTTTCTAGGGCTTGATATGTCTACCCTTTCAGCTTTACGTTTATTTCCTCGAATTGAAGCTGTTGACATTTGTGCATTAAAATTTGTGTTTTGAGATACCGGCTGGGTATCTAGCAAATCCTCATCCAGATTGATGATCGGATTGATACAATTTACTTGACGATTATTTTTCCCTAGTGAAACATTGTGGGCAACCCCACTAATATAATCCATAAATTCAAGCTCTGAATATTTCCTAAGTTTTTTAAACGATCGTCGAGAGATACATACTTATTTTTTCGCTTCGGTACTAATCTACAACCCAGCCGTTCATAGATTATACAAGGTTAAGGTTTTATTCTGCTCCTTCTGTAATAATGCTATAAGTTGATAAATTGGCAAATGTGCATCGTCACAAAAGCTGTTGAAGCAATTATTCCAACTTTCTTCTTGTTTTTGAGTTTCACTGAGATTGATTTTTTGTACTAACTGTGAGTGAATAGTAATGCAATTTTGACTGACTGAACGAGAGTCGGAGAGATTATGGAAAGACAAAATATGAATTCGTCTACTTTGTCTACATAATGTCCATGTTATCGCCTAATCTACATTTTATGCTATCCATGTAAAGTCTGTCCATGTTTTTCATGTCTATATTTTGTCTGTCCATGTTTTTCATGTCTATATTTTGTCTGTCCACGTTTAAGCCGTGTCCACCATCCCATTGTCTATCTTATACCCTAGACCCGGATAATTTACTCTCTACTGTCCAAAGGGAGGAGGCAAGATGTCAAGTATTAATACGCTCAAGTAAGTATGTTATACCCGAATTGGCTAAAAATTAGTTAATTAATTCCAGGGTTTGTAAAACACAGTTTTTTTGCGTTTGTAAATATAACACAGTGTGATATGTTTAATTTTTTTATGTATTTTTTAAACGCTATGTACCAGGCAATACGTGATACTGTACAAGAAACACATTAAACACAAAAACACGAAAAACACATTAACACAAAACCACATTAAATAATAAAACACATTAAACATAAGAAACACATTAAACACAAAAAACACGTTAAACACAAAAAATACATACACAAAAAAACAAGTCAAAAAACACTCTTGTGAACTCGTCCCATTATTATACATTTTCTCCATCTGCTTCTAAAAATCGGATAAAAAAGAACCTTGTATTCATAACTTTCCCTACTTTCCTCTTACAGCATTGAACTTGTCGATGGCCAAAGCCGAGAAATTGACCCAGAAACCGAACCCAACCTCCTTCTACAAGCCAACAAAGCAGTCACCCTCTTTAAAAATCAAGTAGCAAAATGTACCACCCTCTTTGGCCCCCATCACCTCAACACGATCCAATCGAAACACAGTTTAGCCGCAGTTCTTACCTCATCTCACAATTTTGTCGAGGCAGAACCCCTCCACCGCGAGGTTGCGGTTGTCATGGAAAAACACTTTGGACCCCGTCACACCAATACTGTCCGGGCTAAACGGACCTTAGCTAATTTTTTGGTAACCACACCCCTCGCCAAGTTCGACGAGGCTGAACAAATCTGCCAAGAGATCGTCACAGTGAGCCAAGAATTGTACGGTGACACGCATTCTGACACGCTCAAGGCGAAAGAATCACTCGCAACGGTGTTCCTGGCGCAAGGGAGGGGTGCCCAGGCTGAAATAATTTTCCGAGAAATTCTAACCCAACAAGAAACCTCCCTTGGGGCGGGAAACGTCGAAACTCTGCAGACGAAACATAACCTTGGCGGAGTCCTGTCCACTTTAGGGAAGCATGAAGAAGCCTTAACAATTAATAGGAAGGTCCTCCAAGAACGAGAGAAACTATATCCGGCCTCCCATCCAATGTTGCTTAATTCGATTCGTGAAGTTGCCGGATTACTGGTGGATCTCGACCGTAACGAGGAGGCGGAACCCTACTATAGGAAATTATTACTGGGAGATGTGGAATGTTACGGGGTCAGGGATCAATCATGTGTCACAACGAAGAATAAACTCGCCCTCGTTCTTACCAGATTGGGTAAGAGGGACGAAGCGTTGCCCTTGTTGAGGGAAAGTGTCGTCGAATTAAACACTTTGCTCGGGCCGTATCATCCAGTCATGTTGGAAACGGTGGGGAATTTGGTGAATGTTTTGTCCTTCTTGGGCAAGCATGAGGATGTCCTGGCTCTACAGGAGGGATTGGTGAAACGGTATGAGAAAGATCTCGGGCCAGGGCATGACTTAGCATGGAAGACTAAACACGGCGTTCGTGCTACGCTACATAAGCTGGGAAGATTCAAGGAGGAGGAGGCCATGTTGAGGAAAATGTTAAAATTTGATAAAAACCGGAATGGTGAGGCCCATGTGACAACGCTGAGCACGAAGAGTAACTTGGCGACGGTATTGGGGGACATGGGCAAGTATGAGGAGGCCGCGAGGATGTATGAGGAGGTTGTATTGGTGATGGAAACAAGGGGTGGGCCATTCCAGCCCTTCCTTGCGACGAATTTGGATAATTTGGCGGGTATGAGGTGCATGATGGGGGAGTTGGAGAAGGCGGAAGTAACGTATAGAAAAGCCGGAGATCTGCGGGAACAGTATTTAGGTGCAGACCATGCGGATACGGTGGTGTCGAGGGAAAGTTTGGCGATCGTTGTGGCCCGATTGGCGGAAGGTGGGGAGAAAGTTGACGTAGCGAGGAGGCCGCTGGTCTTGGAAAGCAGGGATTCAGGTAATCAACGGCGGTCCTGTTGATTAATAATTTCTCTATTTGTGAAGAACTTGATCCTCTTTAAATATTTGCAAGAAGCGGATGTGAGGTTTTCTTGATTTTTTTTATTTTTTTTTTACTTGTTTTATTAAAAAAAGAGGAAAATGTGGGTAAAGCAAATTGAGGGAATATTAACTCGTAGTTTGTCAAAAATCAAAAGTTCGCAAAAAAATTGGCAATAAAATATTTTGTTTGAGAACTTGTACGTACAACACTAGTACTTGTTGAAGCAAAAGGCTTACAATTATGATTTTGAGATGCCAAATAGGAGTGAATGTCGCTAGTGGGAGAATTAATATCAAAGCACTTAATATATGTATTTATATTATCTTAATTTCTACATAGTACCTGGACATCTGCTATGGTCGACGGGACCAGTCTCGAATTCTGGAAGCTGGCGTAACACTGTGTCCAAACTTTTCAATGGAATATTTGGACGACAGAAGTAAAATATGTGAAATTTTCAAAATCCAGTGGACACGTTTCACCAGTAGACTTTCCCTAAACAAGGGAACCGTTAAGAAGGACGAAAGTCTAGAAAAAAATATTAAAAAAGCGTTTGAAGTCACCACCAAATCTTAATGATATTCGATTAAATTTAAAAAGATGAAATAAATAGCGGGAATACAATTTAAAAAAATCACTCAGCTATCAATCTTTCACCGCTGTCCAACAAGAATATGCATACATAAATATTTATTTTATGCCTAATAAAAGCTCTTTTTCGTCTTATTTTTTTGTTGGTTAACAAAACCTTAGTATTTATTCGATTTCGACATTCACACTAATTTGAATTGAATTTTGATCATACATGTACGAATATCACGGTGGTACAAATCGTCCTAAATTTGGTATTCGACCAGTTCCCTTGTAAACCTTGTATCTACATCCGAATAATCCATGCTTCATGCTGTGCATTGAAATATATTTACTTATCATCTCTAGCAATACGGTTATATATTTAGCTTGTCAAGTACTAATTAATGCCAGTGCCTAATTACCTGCAGTCGATGTTTCCTCTAAGATTTGTGCTTTCATCGATCTATTTCTATCCCAGCCCTCGGGTGAATGACCAGCAAACTATTTATTCAAAATCTATCAGGGCAACGAACCCTTCATCAAAGTTGCCCTACCCGAAGGATGAAAAGACAGGGACGAGAGCCTACGCATGTAAAGAAATGAGCTACAAATGTATACTTCCAATTAGGGATAGGAAGGATGGGGGTGGAAGGTGTCCGTAATTTTATCTGGTTTAAGTTCAAATACCATAAGGGAAAACTTACCTGAAAAACCTGAAAAAAGTTAGGATGAAAATATATGGATGAAAGGTTGAGTTTTTATTTTAATCTCCCATTTCCAGGTAGGTGAGGTTTGGAGGAAGATTGATAAATTGTACTGATATATCAAGAGGTCTATTGCAAATAAACTCATTGAGAGGGAGGTGTTTGAATTAAATTTCTCACCGCCAATATAATTGTGTGAAGGGAGTATTTAGAAATTTTCGTCAGTGGCGTCGCAAGTTGGCTGCCTTTTGAACACGAACGCGACGAAAAAAGATGCCGAGCTACGCGTCATTTATCTAAGACACTAGCTGAGTTATAAAAAATTATCTGAGTTATGAAAATCAAAAGAAATCAGCGTTTGGAGTGGCAGCTTAAAAGAGAGAAAGAGCATGTTTAAGGCCCTTCTGAAAATGGAGTATAGAGCGGCTGGTGGTGGACAGAAGAGCGCGGGAAAACACCTCCCTCTCAATGAGTTTACTTACAATAGTCAACGCATCGGTTAGCACAACATATATTGAAGTAATGCGCATCTAACATGTTTCAGATCTAGGAAAAGATTCTATATACAAGTTGGAAATCAGGTTTCACAACATGCATGGAATTTTGTTGGATAAAACTATATATTATAACACTCATGGTCCATTTTATGTCGATTTGGAAAACTACATAAAATTTAAGGAAATCAGTTTCTGTGAATCTGTGTCATTCTCGTCTTTAAGAAGTTTAGATATTACACAAATATTTTAAATTTTTTCAAGTATTTTGCACATTAGTTGAACCTGTTGCTTGATTCTATCGCGACAAGAATACTTCTGTTGTAAACGTTAAAAAAAATTCAATCCGACATGATTGTCTTCTACTTCTTGCTTATAACAGTAGCTTTTGCCAGTAGCTCTGAGGTATGCTCATGCGAATCTGTAATAAGTGACTCGCCACCCAACTACTTCGTTCCGTGCGAACTTAGCTGGCACGCTATCCGCCCTGGCAACAAATTTTACAGTAAATACCCAGTGGCCCGGGTTAGTTACATATATAAAGAAATAGACGGGTTCAACTGCTATACAGACGATTCGGCAGTACTGATCAAATACGGCGCCGTTTTTGGCGCCTTGGTCCCCGAAAATGTGGAATATTATTGTGAAACGAAAATATCACCTTCCTGGTTTATCTTCCCCAGGACGGTCGATACTTCAAAAGCAACAAAATCTCAGAGCGACGGGAGTTTGATAGCATCAACTAAAATATTGATTACTCCGATGGGGCAGGAGATGACTTTTTTGGAGGTTTTTATGATGCTAAAAAAATTTGAATATGATTTAATTATTTGTAAAAAAAATATTTAAATTTTATAAATATTTTACTCTAGGCGAACATAACAAGTCCTACGGCACCGTGGCCGGCAACAGTTGGAATTACCGAGTTCAAATCCATCCCGCCATCCAATACGGAATGCACCGTATTCTACACGGCAAGTCCTGGCGAATATGGTGGTGTCGACTACTTGGAAGTTTTCACCTTGTCGGCGTGGGTGGTCGAGTGTGGCGATGTGTTCAAAAATTCGAGTAACAAGATTCCAGATTCCGAACCGTATTTTTGTGCCGGGTTGGAAATTCTGAACAAGGAGAGGCCATATGGAGCATTGGCTAATGAAATCAATGGACGGTGCGTGAATGACAAGTATGTACGGGAATCACCGTTTCCATCAGGGACCTGGGATTTCTTGCCATGGGAAGCGCGTAGTTTTGAGCGGTGGCCGATGATGTGTCAAAATTTGGGCAATGAGTTAGGTCGGAAGGAAAGCGATGATGGACTTGGATTCGTAGGGTTTGTAAAATTTAGGGAAATGATTGATGAAAATCCATACGTAGTGGTGGAACAATTTGATATAAGTCAAATACAGGGTTAGCAGCAAAGTTTGGGTGTAATTCAATTTATTAAATTAATAGTTTGGTAATTTAATATTTACATAAATGTGGATAAAGTACAATTTACTTGTCGAATTTTTAAGGTTAATAAATGCTCCCTGGAAATATATGATTTAAAGTGAAATAAAAATTTGTAAGCTCTCGTTTTGATTAAAATGTTAAGAAGATTGTTAAGTATTATTTTACAAGATACAATAATATCCATTCTGATGTGTTCTGCTGGAAAGATTTTAGTTTTGTTGGGAGTTTAAAGGACTTGTAGGTATTATGAAATCTGATGAATAAAGATGAAACTATTGTGCTAATAAAACGAAATTAAGGCTACTGCATACGTTCATGTGTAATGGTGGTTAATCATAATTAATTTCAGCCTTGATTCTTATTCGTGCAAAAAGTAAGACGGAAATTTCATCCACTCTAAATCTTTAAAATGTTGCAAACAGGGTGAGCAATTCGGCAGCCTTTTTGCTATAAAATTATGCCGTTTTGTAATGCCGAATTGCCGTTTTCTGTGCCGTATTGTTTTCTTGTGGGTGGTCAAATATTGAATGCACAAAATAGTTAAAAAAATATATGTAGTTTAATTATTCCAATCGGATGAATTGAAAACTTTTTAAGTTACTCGTAAGTAATATTAGAATTACATTTCTGTAATGCTAATCACATTGCAAACTCTGAAATTTCATATTTTCTGGGATAACTTTATTTCTGCTCATCCTATGATAATAATTATATCGAATAAATATTCTTAATTCACTGATTAATTATTTTCTACAATTTAATTCACGTCTTAGTATTCCTCAAATTTCAATTCGGCAAAACGGCAATGCGGCATGATTTTTTGCTCGGCAAAACGGCAGTTTTCGGCACGGCACGGCATTGCCGGAATGCCGTTTTGCCGTGGCGAACCCTGGTTGCAAAATGTCACGACTGAACGACGAACTTAGACGGCGTATTTACATTCCCAGAAATACGGTAACAAAATTATAAGGATGCTTAGAACAAAAATACAGTTTTGCTCTGCATTTAAAAATCTTTCCACAATTTGTATCACATATAGTTGCTTAATAATATAAAGGCATGTAATTAGCCGGCCGGTAGAAATAGTAAAATTGTCCACTTAAAATAGTAAACCCACATAGAAGTACTTTCACCCATTAAAAATAGTATTTCACACCATATTTTGATTACCCTCATATACATATTGCATAATTATTTTAAATGGCATTTTTACATTAATAACCGGTGTGAAAAACTATTTTTAATGGGTTAAAGTACTTCTAGGTTGGTTTACTATTTTAAGTGGACGATTACACTATTTCTACAGGGGCAATAATAATGTTCCCAATGTAAATGGGGATTTTTGCGCATAGAAAAGTTGAATCATATATTAACAACTATTTTTGTGACGATTACAATGTGCCCGGTGTGTCCACCAAGAAATTTGTAAACATATTTATTTTATTCCCTGTACAAATATTTGTTTCAATTGATCATCTATGGCTTAAAAAACCCTGGTATTTATTAGATTTCTACATAGATACTAATTTAAGTTGAATCTTAATCATTAACGGATTTACTAATGCTACAATTCTTCCCAAGTTCGGTTTTCTTCAACACAACTACTCATTCACTTTCATGTGTTTTAGAAATGTCAGGTTCAGTATTCTCTGTTTGCGTTCTATCCTCTTACATGTTATCATTATTTTCGGCGGGGTTAAACGTTTTTAATTTGCAGTTCGCCCTCGGTTTCCAATTCAGGTTGTCATGCCCTCGTTCATGCCTGGTCAGATGTGTCTTGACTTTGAAGCCTTGTCCACAAATGTGGCAGACGTGTGGTCGGTTATCCGTATGAACGTTGTTTTTGTGGATCCGCAAATTTTTCCCGTCTATAAAATTACATGAGTAATTAAAAAAATCTAGTAATTAAATGATGCAAAGTTTGCAACTGGGTAGCTTTTATCGCAATGACTTGGCTAGGTTATTCAACTTTTGTCTTATAGATAACTTAACTAAAGCTGTTTTTTAAGCCAAATCACCAGGAAACAGTCTTTTTGTTTAATAATGTGTTATACACAATGCGACACCATAGCCATAACAGAGGAGTATTTCGGCTTAGTGTTCGAGAAGCATAGAAATGTTAGAAAAGCTTAAATATAAAATTGCTTTTTGTGGGCATATCTGCATTTTTGCTTTTCATACAGACTCATATTTTAATTTCTTACTGCTTTTTGCATGTCGCGAAATATAAATTGGCGTACTGCGTGAATTCATGCTGCAACTCTTAACAAGGTGTCCACGAAAGCAATTGAGACACTTTGGTTTTTTTTACGAATTGCTCACTTTCAACTTTCGTAGGAAACTTTCTATCTATCGAAAAGTTCTGAAATTTCAACCACTAACGGACATAGGGTTGGAAATTTTAAAAAAATCAAATTTCATAACCGCATGCAAATTTAACCGCCAAAAAACCAAATTGTCTCAATTGCTTTAGTGAATAGTATAGATCTAAAAAGCAAGTTAAAGCAAAAATGATACATCCTTTCAATGAGCCGGCATACCGAGTATGCACACAAGTAACTTCAGGACCTTAAAATGGTTCGCCCTTAAAATAATGAAAGTCAAGTAATTACCGAGAAATTCTTTTCCACATATGTCACAAGAAACCTTTCTCTCTTCTTCAGTCATATGCCGTGCTCTCATATGTCCGAGAAGCAAAACTGACGTAATGTACGATTTTCCACATCCTTCCACCTCACAGTAGAAACGTGGAGGGAGTACGTAAACTTTTTCTGGGTCAATTTGCCCCTCCTCGGTGTTTTCTGTTGGTGGCTGGATCTTGTTGCGCTTCCGCATTTGGTAATTCGGGTCGGCATGTCGTGCGATGTGAGCCTTAAGTAGGCGTTGGTATGGAAACGCATGGCCGCATATAGGGCAAGATAAATCTGGTTGATTCTCATGCATCCGAATTTTGTGATGACGCACCATAGTAGCGTCTGAAATAGTAAAAAAAAGTGGGATTATTTGGTTAAAAATTATTTCGCATGGGGTTAGAGAAATAAAAAGTATAACTTATAAAGAACTACAAATTTTTTTGGGATTTTGATAATTAACAAACATAACCAAAAAAATGTTAACGTTTTTTTAATAAATTTCATAACATTACTAAAACCTAACTACCAAAAAAAGGATGTGTAAAACGCTGGTTATATATTCGTCAACTTACTTGCAAATATTCCATGACAGATGTCACATTTTCGTCGAGTATCTTTATGGAAGCGGTTGATGTGTCGTGTTAACACGGTCTGCTTCCGAAACGCCATCTCGCAACCATCCACCGGGCATGGATAGGAGTCTAATTTTCTTTCATGTATTTTCATGTGACCGTGAAGAAGGTCCAAACCACGGAATCCTTTCCCACAAGTGGAACAAAGGTAGGGACGTTCGCCCGTGTGTTTGCGGACGTGCTGTAAGTATTTCCTGCGGAAGTTGGAGCCATACGAACAATGGTCGCACTTGAAACGAAATCCGATAATGACGTTCTTTTGTTTGGGGGCTTTTCGTTTCTTCCTTTGAACAATGTTTTTCTGCTTCGGCACCGTTTTACGAGCAGTATCAGCAACAATAGATGGACCAAGGCGGATGTATGGGTTTGGAAGGTTTTTTTCTGGTTCGGTGGAAGGAATAATATTTAAGGTAGATTGAGATCCCAACTCTGTGTTCTTATTTGGATTGATGACAACTTTGGACTCTTCTGAATCTACGGTTTCTTCAAAGTCAGAGAAGGGTAAACAATCATTATTGTCATCGTCGTCGTCTTCCTTAACACCTGCGATAGTGGCGGCATTAATTGTCATGTTGCTTATCGTTGCGTCATCCTCGTCTAAACTTTCATCTGCAAAAACAGAGATAAAGATAGTGAAAGTTCATTTAGTAATATTGCATGAATATTTAGTGCACTGAGGAGCACAACAATTATTGTTTTTTAATCTCTATCAAAGTAATAAAAGTTTCAATTCCAGATTTATAAAGGTGACAAATACCAAATGTATGACTAGATAAATACGAGAAATGCAAAAATTATTACCACTCTGCTTCAATGGAAAGATATTACTTTGCTGCCCTAGAATTTTCATTTCTTTTTCGTCTTCGGAAAGTCGATCTCTTCCTGCTAAGGTCTCCGAATTCATCTGAAAATCATTACTATTCACTCCTATTTCTATGTCGTCCACCACTTCAGTCTTTATCGCAAAGTATTCATCTATTTGCGAATTCTCTACAAAATCCGCTTCTTCCATCGGATCAGAATTGTGATCCTCTTCAGCCGTAGAACGACATGATTGACTCAAAATTTTGTTACGAGAGACTCCACCCGTTGACTTCTTAGCAACTCTGTTGACCAAAATTCCAGCACCACGTCGACCAAATCGCAACGAACTGGACCGAAACGATTTGGAGGGTGGCTGATTTACAATCCCTGTAATAAAAAAAATGTAAAAGTAATCTCAATCAAGTACACATAAATAGGGGTTGCTGGTCTTATACATAGATAAATATCAATAATCAACAACTTAATTACTAGTGTGATAGCATAATTCTGCAAGAATTAGAAAATTTCCAACCCAATTATAAATCTGATCTGTACTGCAATTATTTTTTTACTAGTAACATTACATCCATAGCAGTTATTTGGGAAATTACATTATTTATGGCTTTCAGTGCTTACTAAGAATTGTCACAATTGCTAAAAAATATATGACTACCGGCTGGTAATAAAATTATGTAACTATAAAATCATGATATGTATGAAAAATTAATTACCTTTCTTTTTTGGCAACTTATTTAATTCCACTATATCGCCTTCATCCTTCTCCAGTAAATTGACATTTGTACAATTAACCAGCTTCTGTACAATTTCCTCTAGGTCTGCCACCCTTCTTGCAAGACTTTGAAGTGTAAGACTATTTGTTATTAAGGGTCGCTGTCCCGTTATATTTTGTCGACCCATAATTTCTTAATGTAGGAAAATATAGGTGTGCGCTTGTACTTAAAATAAAGAAATAACATAGCATGATTAAAAACTTTTTTGTGTAATTATTATATAAATTATATAATCAAGAAATTAATAAATTACGGTATTGGAAAGTTTGTGAATCACGAACGAAAATATGTAACTGCAGTCCAGCTGAGGTAAAAAACAAGACTGACTGCCGCAGGTTGGGATGGAGAGAAAATCACGCAGGGCAAAATGAGCAATGTACATATTTGACAAAGAAATGAAAAGCTTCACTTCTTAACCTTTCGTCATACCTGGTAATAATAAATATGCGTAGTCTGACAAAGGCTATAAATCCTACATAATTTATCCTGACCGATAAATTATACAAATTTTCAGGATTAGTACGTATATAAAATAAAAGTATTTCGTCATAGGAAATAATATAACCTCCAACATTTCTTGTCACCTGCAAAATGCAGTATAAGAAGGTGCATGAAATGCAAATATTTAAGTCCAAAAACTGCAAAGAACTAGAAAAATAAAATGAACTTCAATTTTCGATTTTGAAATATTTTGTGATTTTTAAATTTATCCCTGACTTCAATTTCACAACATGACATTTTCATTATTTATAATATCTACAATCTTTATATCTTTAGACAATGACAGGTGGAGTAGATACGGTGATAAGTTTATAAATATATTTAAACGGCGAGAAGTTTTTGTTCGCAGAGTGAGAAATTGTTTTAATTTTGCAACTGCATTAAAACAATAAATTGGGTGAAAGCTTGTCGAAATATCTGAAATTGGAAAATTACTAATAAAAAGTTTGCACGTCAACACAACACACCAAGGTATAAGGAAAAACATGTCAGTTACCCCGAGTACTAAAGAATTGTCGAATTTGATATAACCATTTAAACATATTTCGCACGGATGGTGTGTCAGAGTGTCAAATATTTGTCCTAATTCTTGTTTACATTGTTTCCTCGTTTCCGCAAGTTGGTGACGCTTCAGACATCTTGCTACTCGTTTTTCCTGTAGAATAAAAATTTGAAATTTCCAAAATTTCGTATTTAAAACGCAACGAATCCCTCACCTCGTTTGTAATTTCGACTGCTCGATTAATCCTGACCAAAGCCCTCACTATAGCCCAAGCAGTACTTGATAATAGTATCGTAATGAATATAAAATATTCTTTATGCCCTTCTTTCACCACGATGCATGCGACACACATGGATCCAGCGGCGTAATAGATGGACAGTAAAATCGAGAGGAGTTGTTGTCCTGTGATTATTTTTCCACAGTGCACCGCTTGGTGACGAATGTCGTAAATAATATTATGCCAGTCTTGAATTTCATTGGGTAAAACATCTTCCCCGCCAGGACTGCATCGCTCACTAATAACGTGACGCATCTGGAATTAAAGGAATTATTTGATATATAGGGATACAAATTTCCTGAAAGGTTTGGAAAACCACTGGGTTTTCCTAATAAGACCATTTCCCCCATGGTTTTTTGGGTTTATTTAAGTAGTCAATTTTTTAGGATTTGTAAATCCCACCCACCGATTCCGTTATTTGAACCGAATGGTATACCCCAACTATCCAAAAATCTCAATATGAACCTAGGTAGCAAACCCTTGTACAGATTTGTTCTTTTTTAAATAGTAACTATTTCTATTTAAACGGTAAGCTTGGGCATCATTCAAATTTTATGATTCAATATCTAAACCGTAGTTCATGATTAGTGTTTCCTTTTTTAACTAAAAATGCAAACCGTATGTCGTAAAAACGGCAAGCTTTGATTCATACCTTTGCAAAAGATGTCTTGATACAATCAAACATTAAAATGCACTTTGCATCTTCTGCCGCACTACAAACAACGGTAAGTGACATGTACAAAATGTTCACTAGAGATGCTGGAAAATATTTCGTAGAAATCATCTTGTATGCCAGTAATCCCCCAAATGTTAACAATGGGATGAGAACGACACTGCAAATTGTACGGCTAACCCGCAAAGATGGTTTGTTTTCGTCGGCGAAATGTTCACATCGTATATTCGCATCGCTAATTCTTTCTTGTATGGTATTCCAAGTGTTTAACCATTTGCTAAATTTTTTGGCTGTCCAGAAACTCAGGAGGTATTCTAGGATTACGTCGACCGTAAAGGTGACTTCGAACGATAAGAAAATTATGGTGAATATTCGATTCGTAGAAGTTCCACTGGTTACTTGGCGAGGTGTAACGTGATCAGGCCACCTAAGAAAATTTAATAAAGTATTTAATCGTATTGGACAAGTTTTACCATGGTCAATGTATTATAACGAGATCAAATTTTGCTTAAATTTTTCAGAAGGGCTAAATGCTGCCCATAGTATTACTCAGATAAACCTACGTACATGTACGTGCGCCAACAAACCTGGTGTCAAAAATTTGACCTGGTTTAAATATGCCAACGATGGGCATTTTGTGACTTACGTATCTCCCGGGGGTATAATTTGCACTCCAAGACTACCGAATTGTAGGAGACAAAATGCAAAGAAAACGACATATAAGAACGCCAACAAAGTCGAGATCCAGGGACATTTTTGTGCATTATAGGAAACGATGTTTAAATTAAAAATGCGCCCTTGGTGAATAGATAGTGGACATTTTCCCAAGTATTTTAGAAGTTTGATGAGACGAAGGAATTCGGCGGTAAATCCAGAATTTTGATTGTTCTTTGGTTTAGCTGATTTTTTTGGATGGATTTGTTGATTTTTTGGTTTTGTCGAAGTCTCGTCGGTCCTTGAAGTTATTTGGTGTGGATGCATTGTGCCTGTGGGAAAAAGAATGTCGGTGAATTGGGACTGATGCGAGTACATGAGAGAAATAAATACTGAAAGATGCTTAGGCACAGCGATTCTCTTACGATGTGTATGTTATGGTGTGTGTATTACAATCACATCATTTTCTTCAATACAGAGTATGGTGACAAATTTTTCGTACTCGCAATTTTTCGATGAAATTGAAGAACGCAGATATCAAGAGGTCTTTAGTATCCAAAGTTAATTGGTATTTGCAGACTAAACTATGTAAAGGGTGTTAATAAAGTCCGATCCCATGAATTTTTTGGAGCGCGGTTGTTGCAAATTCAGCTGGAACTTTTGAACCAGTGAAGTTATTTATTTCAAATTTTTACCATGGGAGGAACAACTAAACGTGTAAGTCATGAGCATCTTAGAGTTAAGATACAAACATTGCATCAGCAGGGGTTTAAACCTGCAGAAATTGTGCAAAAATTGGGCTGCAGCCGCAGAACTGTTTGGAAATGGAAGAACAAAAATTTTGTCCACGACAAAAAGCGACCCGGGCGACCCAGAAAGGTGTCACCTACCACAAAGAGAATGATTAAAAACAGACTTTACAAGAAAACCGGTAGTTCATTACGTAATTGTGCAAGGGAGTTAAATGACTCAAAACGCTATAAAGAGAAGAAGAAGCAAATTAACTATGTGACCGTGCAAAAATTTGTGAAATCTACGAGGTGGGGTCACACAGCTTACAAACTAACCAAAAAACCTCTCATGTCACAAAAAAATATCGATGACCGTCTGAAATTTGGAGAACTCCTTCAGAAAAGTGGCCATTTGAGTGAAAAAAGACTTGGTGAAGAATTGCGCAGTCACATCCTTTGGACTGACGAATCTATTATTGAGCTATATCCAAAATTGAACCAACAAAATGTTCGTTACAGGACAGAAAACAAATCGGATGTACCATCAAGAGTAGTCCCAAAATTCGGGCTTAAAGTTATGGTAGCGGGTGGATTTTGTGCACGTGGCGTGACTCCTCTACATATCATACCAAAAGGCCAAACAGTCAATGCAAAGTATTATATGGAAAAAATATTACCTATCTATTTCGATAGCATGGGGAACAAGGAAATATTTCCGAATGAAAGAAAAATAGTTTTCATGCAGGATGGTGCTACAGCCCATACAGCAAAAGCGAGTTTGAGTCTCATCAAGACGCAAGTTTCAACGGTCTGGAGCAAGGGGGTGTGGCCCGGAAACAGCCCAGATTTGAATCCCCTGGAGAACCTGTGGTCCATACTTAAGGAAAATGTATACAAAGAACCACAACCCCGGACGAGGGAAGAGCTAGTAAAAAAAGTTCAAGATGTATGGAATTCGATTCCCACAGACACATTAGAAAAATTAGCACAGAGCCTTAAACAAAGAGTTGAGGGCATGGTTAAAGTAAATGGTAACAAGACCAAATACTAAGGTAAATATGTCGAACATTTTTTGTAAGTATCACGGGTAGTTTTTTTTATACTAGCCTTCACTTTTTTATAGGAAAAATGGGATCGGACTTTATTAACACCCTTTATGAGATCCTTACATATTGAGATTGAAAGAGTAAATTAGATATTAAGTTCAAATGCAGAGACTATATGGAATTAGAATCTTGTCCAGGCCCGGATGTTTGACTAACGGGCGAGGCTCATTTTCCGGAAATCGTGTAATTCCTGTAATTAGTATTTGTTTACTTACCGGGTCATTTTTATATTTATCTGATATCATAATGTCCTCTATAATTCCATTTAATTTGACAAATTTGAAATTATTATATAAATTTAGGCACATACTGAATGCATGAACAAAGGTAAAAACGACTAAGGCTGGTAGGCATTTCATGTCGGACACCTACTTAAATATTTATATATGTACCAGGCCACTAAACATGGTCCACTGTGGATGTATGACATACATAACTATTTATATTAAACATCTTATCTTGCTGTACATAGACATGTACGCAACTGGTGTCTCCTGCCGATCACGATATTGCCTGGTTATGTCTGGAAATCCAGTCTGTCTTACAGAACACTGTCCTCGTTATGTTGTAGCAGCAGAGAAAGCCTTGGAGAGCACGGAGTTAGTAGTCTTTATACCGTCGTCTTCACCACAGTAAAGCAAAGCGAAGTCTGACTAACACATGTATTTATTTATTAACAGTCAAATAATTTTGTTCAGTGGTGTAAAATACTGTGTCGAATTTAAGAAATTGACTTACAACTTATTTTTAGTAACCAGGTAAATATTATATTTTTTTATAAGCAAAATTTAACCTACTGCATTTTACAGGGGCATTCATCTCATTTTTTAGGGTATCTTGGAAGGTAGAGTAAAGAATTTTAATAAATTCAAGACATGAATTTCTTGATAATTTTGGAAAATATATTTACACATTAAACTTAAATGCAAATTTTACACGCAGCCTAATATACAATTGTAGTAGACTGTAATTTTGGCAAGATGATATTCCCAATATAAGTCGAGCAGTTTGCTTAATTTTGTTTGTAAGATGTACATAAGACTCGATTTTTTCTTCGGGTTTCTGGATATTAAAAAAATCGTTTTGTTCTTAAAGTCTGAAAAATTCGACACTACCTTACCAATTTTCCGTAGAAATCTCTTATGGTTAATTTACAAATGTATATTTACTCTTATTTAAAGAGTATGAGCGAAATAATTAATCAAAAAACAATATTCACTTCACCCTGTACAAAAAATTATCTTTTCACAAGTCATTTCTATAATTTGAAATATTCACATAATCTTTTATATAATTTTCAGGAATTTTCGTCTGCAATTTTTATACTTATACAACCCCTGCCATCAGTAAGTTAGCCTTCCGTAGCAATGTCCATCCCACAAGGAGGTGTGGCAGCATTGAGAGAAAAGGCGCGCAATAAGCCAAAGCCCATATCCAAATTTGAAGAAAACTGCCCCCTATTTACCCAAGCGTTGAAAGACGAATTGGTTAAAATACTAAACCCCAAAGCTAATCAGGAAACTAACCTACATGACTACCAAATTAAAGCTGTTCTCAACACTGCCGAACATTTCGGCAAACCCTTAGATCCCGATAGGAATGAGAGAAGTGCTGCTTTAATAGTTGCTCCACCCGGGTCAGGAAAATCTGGAATGGTTGCTCTTCTTCCATATGTCCTCAACTCCCATAAAGTCTTGGTACTGACCCCGTCTAGAATAATTTCAGAACAAATAGCTGCCGATTTTGGTTACAAATTTGACGGGAAAGGCTTACCATTTATTATAAAATGTGGCCTATTTAACGTAGAAGATAACTATGAAGTCATGCTGGAAACTGTTCATCTCTGTGATCTTAAGAAAAACAAAGACATCCAAAACGGACAGAATCTTGTCATTGCGAAAGCACAAATATTCGCTGGTAGAGCGAAAAACAGTTTAACATCTGACAAGTCGAGAGATGACGTTGCCAAGGTTTTGCAATCATTCGACACCATCATTGTGGATGAAGCGCATCATTGCACTGCTCAAACGTGGGAAAATGTTATTAACTGTTTCGAAGGGAGGAAGATAGTGTTTCTCACGGCAACTCCTTTTTCCGGTAATGAGTCTTTGCTCAGCATCCTTGGCGACAAGCTTGAAGAAGTTTTTACTATTCGGCGCGCAGAGGTGGAGGGTGAGACAATATACTATATCGTTTTGTTAAATGTTCACTCCTTATTACATTTATGGCTAGATTTTGTTAGTGTTGGTGTATTAAAATGAGATCAAATACTTAGCTTGGTAACGTGCAGATCTGAATAACACCACGGGCAACTTTTGCCTTTCAGAAAACTTGAAGCAAAATTTGATCTCGTTATAATATACGGTTAATTACACTCTAAATAATATGGTAACAAAATTTGTGATTTATTACCGCTCGTGACTATATATGTCTTTACCGGCCACGGTAGAGTCATATTGTTACCACCGGTAATACATAAATCAAAAATTTTATTACCAGATTATTTAGAGTGTAAGTACCGAATTAATTCTGCTTTATTTATTCACAGGTGTCACAATTAGGAAATCTGATTTTACCTTTAATCCAATGAAACACAAACCTTTCGATGATCCAGACTTCTTTGGAGACCTTCGTAACGATATTGACGAAGCTCTCGGTAGACATGTGGCCCAAGAAAATAGAAATGTTGGTGAACACTCACCCCAGGCCATGATCTTGGTCACAACGATGAAACAAGCAGAAGAAACGGCCGAGGCTTTAGGTCGGGATGCCACCTTCGTGATATCAGCTGCAGAAGGGGACGCCAACTTGAAACAGTTTAACAAGGGAGACAAGAAGATTGCCGTGGTGTGCGGAATGCTGCGTGAAGGGTATGACAATTCTCGTGTCACGCTCGTAGTCTTTATTCGCAATTGTGGCTCACGCGTCTTGTTTGAGCAGTTTTGTGGCCGTTGCATCAGAATGAATCGTAACTTAGCAAATGTGACAAGGTCTGAGATGGGTAAGGATAAAACCATCGGGACTATCCTCAGCTACCAATGTTATCCAGGGATTAAAAAATTCTGGGAGGAAAGAGATAAACCAATTGCCGATGTGGAACCCGACTACGAAGATAATGGTAACGATGAGTAGATCGAAGGATGGGAAATTATGATGTAGTAAGAAGAATTAATTAATATTATTATGATACAGATTTAATTTAATTTCCAGAATATAACTGATCCAATAATTTATTGGTGGGGATAATCAAATCCAATATTTTTACCTTAGATAGTTTCTTATTAGTAGAAAGAGGAGAGAACGAAGTGGAGGGAGACCTTTGTTTTCATTGTTTAAATGAATTCAGGAGCTCCTCACATTCTTTCATCCTTGGTGGTAGGTGATTTAAGTTGTTTACTGGATGGTTTGGCCTTGTCAGCATACATATGTTATGCTTAGTTTGTGTAAATTCTTCTACAAGTGGAAAAAATATTATTTTTCGACCGATTAAACTTGTAATTTTTACCCAGGTGGTGGTAAACGTGTTATACAAAAACTAAAAGTTCTTTTGGATATTGTAAAATTGTTTGTAATATTTTGTACATCACTTAATAATCGGTAGTTAAGCTAATTGAGGTGATAAATTTTGCTAGTAAAGAAGTAATAATATGAATGAAATTCGTGTTTATGTATAAATTAGTGGTGTTTTACTATACTATTTTGTTTACCAATTTAGTTACATCGTGCCTGTTTGGAAACAAATTTTTTAAAAATGGAGACAAAAAAGGTAACCGAATAGTACAGATATATGTCGTATATTAATGATGATTACGAATGAATATGTACATGGAGGGTGTTAAATCGTTACATAGGGGGAACAATTTTACTACATTAAAAAAATATCAAAATTTTGTCATATAAATTTATCTTTTCATGAGGTGGAGTTGATAAAATTTTCAAACTTATTTGCGAAACTTACTGCTTGTGATACTTCAAAAATATGGTGCTAATGACGATGTTGTGAGTGATGCAGTAAACATTGTTTCCTTTAGGTAACGACTTAACGCCCTCACTGTATATTGTTTGATTATCCTAACACCAAATTTTTGTAGTACAGACTTATCTGTATTTATAACGGCTTAAGTTCCGACGGGTTAAAGAAATTGCTATAAACATGACAAAGACCAGTGAATTATGTATATCGACTTTGAGGACAGTAGGTGAAGTTTGTTGGCCAATGTCAGTAAAACAAATTGGAATGTCGGATTGCTCTCAAGGTTTAGTTCAAATTGACTGAATTTATTTGTTTTGTTTCATATTGAAGTGTATCGAGCAGTCTGCTCCCCTCCCCGAAACAGAATGTGTCAATCGTGACTTGGTCGCTGGTCATTCTGGTTCTGTCACTAGGGATGACGACTTGCTTGCCGTGGCAAATCCAGAAACTGGTAAATTGCACTAGAAATAAGTAACACGACATTTTGGTATATTTAACATGCCGTTTTAATTTTTTAGCTATGGAAGACCTCTTGTCTCCGCAGGAGCTCATTGACTCATACGTCACACCCCGTGATAAAGTCTGGACAGCTAAGGAGAGAAGAAAACACATGAAACGATGCAAAAACTTTGCCGCCAAGGAAGCCAGGCTTAAACTGGCATATGCTAATAAACACAGAGTAAGCCGATATACGTAACAGGCTTATAGAGTGTCCCCTATTTCGATTTATAAGGGGAACAATTTTTAGTACAATGACCTGAGTTACCACATGATGTTTTAAACATTAAATGAAAAAAAATTCCTTTTTATTCTATTGTTGTCAAGTAAAACTCGCAAAATTTTGGGAGCAATTAATTTTGTGCGGTAACCAAGGTTATTGTAGTAAAAATTCTTCCCTTATGAAACGAAATAAGGGACACTCTGTACATCTATTAAGAAGTGTTAATAATAAGTATATATTTATAACTTGTGTAGCAAGAACAGATAGAAATTGCGGAAAAGGAGACGGCACTCAAAAGGAAGGAACTCATATTGAGTAAGTTTCGTGGAAAAAAGGAGGAAAAAAAGAATAATTATGGACAACCCATATCATTTGATGCACAAATGCGACTAGCAACTCAAAACGTATTTCCGAAAGATGATAATGGTGAGATGTTTAATATTTTTTAATGTGGCAATATTTATATGTTAGACAGTATATGTTAATTAGCAGGACAACGCAGTTCCAATAAGAAAACGGGTAGGTTATTGTGAAATTTATGGCGGAAAAGTATCAAAAAAATGAAACTGTCATATTTCTTGATCTCTAGGTAACACCAAGGTACCAGCTCGTCCGGTGGGAAAGGACAAGCCGTCCGTCTCTTCCTCATATAGCAAGGCAAACAAGAAATCTTAAGCGAGATCAAGAACTTGTTAAAAAATGATATAAAATTTCGAAAAGTTCCTATTTCAATGTTACAACCGAAATTGTAATTTTTCTGGTTTTTCGTTTATAACTTTTTTACTAACTAGAATTTTCTACAAATTAATTAGATAATCTTGTGAAAATCGTATGCATATCGCTCGTTGCTCAAACAAGAGATATCGTATTTTTTTCAAAAAGTTCCTATTTCAATGTTACACCTTGTATTTGAAAACTTAATAAAGCGTTGAAAGTGCCTAACCTTTACGAAAAGTAAAATGAGAAAATAGAGATGTGATTATCAACAACACTGGAATAGTAGAATAAGTGGATGTAAACCACAGTTTTGTCTTATATACATAATTTAATTCAAATGATTAAATTGTATGGTTTCTACCTATTTATCAGAGCTGGCCAAATTACATGAAGTTCGAATTACAAATTACAAATTACAATTACAATCCTAATTTTCTTCAATTACAAATTACAAATTACAATTACATTTTACTAACTTAATTCAATTACAATTACAAATTACAAATTGTAATTGAGAAAGTAATTGAATTACAAGTGTAATTACAATTACTTTGACCATGCTAAAACCGCTGAATTCATGTTTTTCTCTTCTTTTATCAGAGGGAGCTTGTGTAATTTGTAATTTGGAAAGTAATTCAATTACTCAATTACAGCTCGTTTCATATATCAAATTACAAATTACAAATTACACCTTCCGAATCATTGTAATTGAAATTACAAATTACAACCAGAAAATCAATGTAATTGAAATTACTAATTACAATTACTAATTGGTAATTTGTAATTGTAATTGTAATTGCCAATTAGTAATTTGGCCAGCTCTGCTATTTATCAATTGTTTATCTGCAACTGGATGATTTAAAGTGAATTTTACGATACAAATGTGTTAATTACCGTAGTTTCATTCGTTTAAGTTGAACATGACTTCAATCCAATTATATAAGTATTTCTTTGGAAACCCTAGGAAAAATATTGGAAACTAAATTGCATTCTTCCTACATGGAAAATAGACAAAGTAATATTTTCAATTTAATTATATTTCTTACAATACTTTGTCAAGAAACTGTATTGTCAAAATTTTTAAGAAATCAATACTGATTTGTCTTATATAAATGGGTCATCGTTACGGGTTCATTAGTTTCACTGAAATCCAATCTACTATTTAAATTTGCTTAGTATGCTAAACTTTGAATTTAGGAAAACCCAACTTATATTTTATTCTTGAATAAATAAGTTATTATTTCATAACTGTAGATGTTTTCTTTACTGATGGTACGTACATATATCCTATATTGCCATATCGTCGCGAATGTTTAAATAATATGAATATGTGCTCTAGTTCATGTGCAATTAATGATTTTTGGATCCTTGAAGAAAATCGAGACAGTTTAATAAAGACAATAATTATCTTGTTTTTCTAAGGCGAGGCAAAAAGTAACCATGTACCCTGGTAACAAAAAATTAAAGCATGGTTACGGCGAAGCCATAGTATGCATTTCACATGGCATCTCAGAATTTCGCGCTCGGATTGTGGGCGAACGGTACGTCGTAGAAAGATGCCACCAGCAACTTAAATGCACAGAATTCAATTAGGCAACCTGCGTTTATCTACCCAGCCCTTACAAAAATCCCCTTCATACAATTTTTTCAGATTTAGTGAAAATTTTCGGACGATCTCGGAATTTTTCCAGGGAAAGCAAAAATCTGCGTCAGGGGATCGAAAGATTCTTAAAATAGCTTCAAAAATGCTATGGACCACATTCAAACCGGACGACGGGTTACTGAGATATGTTCGATAAAAGCGATAATTTTATGGGGTTGCTAGGTGAATTTTCGAGCTATCTCTAAATTTTCAGGTGAAAATTAAAAATCTGAGATAGCAGATCAGTTGGTCTTTTAATTTTCCATAAAAATGCTCCAGACCGCATACAAATCGGTCGAGGGGTTGCGGAGATAAGAACAGATGTGTTTGGAAATTCTGACGTTTCTAAGTAAATTTTGCAAGGATATCGCAATTCTGCAGAAATAATTCATCCTTATTAGTTATAATCTTAGTTGACATGAGAACCTTACTGACAGAGTTCCGTTTCATGCACCTTTCGAGTATTTCGTGCATGCAATCTGCACGAAATGCATGAAATGATGGATGGAGCCACTAGGCGCATATGTGTTAAGTTAACTAGTCAATGCAATAAAAAGACATTCAGAAATAATGATGGGCGATGATATTACTAATGTCACCATAAATTGGCGAAAAGCTTTCAATAAACCTCATTCAGAAGGATTTTCCGAATTTGTTTGTGAACTATTCTGGTTTGTTCCAAGCAACGGAACTATTGAGAGATGTTTTTTTTATAATGTACACAGTGATGGTAAAAACCAATCAAAGTGGTAAAATTTAAAACAATGGTCGTTGCCACTTAAAAATTTGAAAATAAAACCCATTAACAAAAAAAAACTAAGGCGAGACCGGCGGGATTACTAATTAAAAACAAGCCCCACCCCCACCCTACCTGCCGTCACACCCTCACCCCGCTCTCGCCTTGGCCAAATGTTGATGAAGCAAAAAAAACTTAAACCAAATTAATGAGTATTAATAATAACTCTGCTCCTGTAAATTAAAATGTCACTAGCCTTTAATATAAAACGATCTTATGTTAATTACCCTGATGTTAAACACACGAAAATTAGTTTATCAATCATTTAAAGTTCAAATTTTCAACCTAACGTTTGAATTAAACAAATTCAGTGGCGACGGGCACATAGGACGTTCATTCCGTCCATATTTGTGCGTCTCAGTTTCCTTGTACTAATTCGTCTGCTATACCCTCGTATGGGTGATATATTGGTGAAATTGCAGTGAAGAGTTTTTTTAGCCTCATCAACATTTGGCCAAGGCGAGAGCGGGGTGAGGGTGTGACGGCAGGTAGGGTGGGGGTGGGGCTTGTTTTTAATTAGTAATCCCGCCGGTCTCGCCTTAGTTTTTTTTTGTTAATGGGTTTTATTTCAAATTTTTAAGTGGCAACGACCATTGTTTTAAATTTTACCACTTTGATTGGTTTTTACCATCACTGTGTACATTATAGAAAAACATCTCTCAATAGTTCCGTTGCTTGGAACAAACCAGAATAGTTCACAAACAAATTCGGAAAATCCTTCTGAATGAGGTTTATTGAAAGCTTTTCGCCAATTTATGGTGACATTAGTAATATCATCGCCCATCATTATTTCTGAATGGCTTTTTATTGCATTGGCTAGTTAACTTCACACATATGCGCCTAGTGGCTCTATCCATCATTTCGTGCATTTCATGCAGACTGCATGCACGAAATACTCGAAAGGTGCATGAAACGGAACTCTGTCAGTAAGGTTCTCATGTGACATGAGAACCTTACTGACATGAGTCATGTCAACTAAGATTATAACTAATAAGGATGAATTATTTCTGCAGAATTGCGATATCCTTGCAAAATTTACTTAGATACGTCAGAATTTCCAAACACATATGACCGTATCTCCGCGACCCCTCGACCGATTTGTATGTGGTCTGGAGCATTTTTATGGACAATTAAAAGATCATCTGATCTGCTATCTCAGATTTTTAATTTTCATCTGAAAATTTAGAGATAGCTCGAAAATTCACCTAGCAACCCCATAAAATTATCGCTTTTATCGAACATATCTCAGTAACCCGTCGTCCGATTTGAATGTGGTCCATAGTATTTTTGAAGCTATTTTAAAAATCTTTCGATCCCCTGACGCAGATTTTTGCTTTCCCTGGAAAAATTCCGAGATCGTCCGAAAATTTTCACTAAATCTGAAAAAATTGTATGAAGGGGATTTTTGTAAGGGCTGGGTAGATAAACGCAGGTTGCCTAATTGAATTCTGTGCATTTAAGTTGCTGGTGGCATCTTTCTACGACGTACCGTTCGCCCACAATCCGAGCGCGAAATTCTGAGATGCCATGTGAAATGCATACTATGGCTTCGCCGTAACCATGCTTTAATTTTTTGTTATCAGGGTACATGGTTACTTTTTGCCTCGCCTTAGAAAAACAAGATAATTAGGTCTCCCAAGGCATGACGAATCGAAATTATATTCGTCGTAATTGCTGGACAAACTAAAATAACAAACCACACAGTTCTCTGCACTCTAAAAAAAACAATGATCCGAGTATGATAATTACAGTTTTATGGTTTCCTGACATTTATATCATTTACA